GCCACTGACTGGTCGGGGCAAAAGGTGCACAGCAGGATGCATGGTGCAAATGGGATTTATAAACTGTCCGCCACTCTTCCCTGATTCCTCATTTTAGAGTATCAAGAATTGCTAAAACTTTGACCATTCACAGTAATGTCTCCGATTTATTGGTTCGTTGATATACCAGTATGTCAAAGTTGGCTAATTAGTATTGTGTTGTTGGTTGTGGTTGTGTAGTGTTTACTTTACTTTGCTTGCATTATTTTGAAGCAGTTTTGTTTGGTGGCGTTACTTTTTAAGTGTTGATGTGGTGTTAGCAAGGAAAAGTTTAATGTTACAAGATGGAAATGAACTAAGCCTGCAAAGCAATGAGTCACAACTGGATTCAACAATCAGCAATACCTGGAAGGTTTGGTCATTTTGCAACTTTCTCTTCTTTACAAACCAGAACATATAATTGGTCTCCATACTTCATTAGTAAAGTTTATTTTATAGTGTCAGGCCTGTTTATGGTGCTCAGTACCCTCCATTAACGGAATACAATGATTTTGCAAGTGGTGTCGGCGGAGTTGATGGTGCAGATAATCAGCATTCAAGTTCTGGAGCAAAGTTCCAAAATTATGTGGACAGGTAGATGACGATTTTCACTTGACTGTTTAGTGAATCTGTGTTTATAAAACATTCCATTTGGAGATATGAGTTCATTCTAGATTAGACCTTCATTAACATCGTGAAATATGCCTAAATGCTTTGAGTAGTTTAGGAGCTTTCTATATAGGTCATGGTTAAGCGATTCTTACTACCTAATCACCAGGCTTATTTTCTCAGTGATATCGTATAGCACTTTTTTTATTGCATGACCTCACTCGTGGTTTCATTCCCTCATCTCCTGTTAAACACTTTGAATTGAATCAGCGAGCTATGGTAAACTAGGCAGTCGATCACTTTTAATTTGTAGACGTTTAATGTAAGGGCGGGTTAGAGTCATTCATCAAGTAAAGTCTGAGGGAAGGAAGTCGTATTAGTTTCTCTCCCGAAATTCTATTTGTGTTATTATTTAACTGAGTTCAACAACCTAATTTTTTGAGTTCAGCTTAACAATGTTTTAATGTTACAATACTTGCTCGATTTGGTGAGCGGCTTTTCAACAATCATATAAAAAGCAAATATCTTTTTCTAGGTTTCAGCATATGGATAACTGGATAAAGCGAGCAACTTTTTCAGCGTATCGGATGCTTGGGATGTATCTGTAACACTGGATGAGCGAGTTGCTTGTACGAGTGCTGCAAAAGTTCTCGAACGACATGCCAACTTGGTAGCGCGTGACTTGATAATGCCACCAGTTAATCCAATTCCCTCAAGAAACAGTAAAATACAGGCCATGCAGCGTCTGGCTATCCAGAAAGGTAGATAGATTTTTTTTTCTTTTATTGAAGTTTCGTGTTATACATCTCATTTTTTATTAGGAAGTTTATAAATCGTGTTTTTCAAATTTTAGAACCAATACCAGGGACAATAGTGCCGGCAGGGAGTAGTGGTATGCATCTGTCTATAAATTTATATCCGCGACTACCAGAAGTAAGTATTTTTGCTTTTTAAAAATCCGGAATATTATTTCTGAAAAGTATGAACATGAGATTCCTTGAGTTATGGCAGAAGATTTATGCGCAATGCCTAAGCAGATATACATGAACCCATTAGTATTAATGTAGATTTGAGATTATGGTAAGAATAATTGGGACTGAATTTTATTTTTTATTTCTTGGAAAAGCTGCAGATATCGGTTGAATACGGAAGAGCACCATCAAGTTCAGTAGTAGGTACTCCGACGATGGCACATAATTCACCGACAGTTCGAGGGCATACCTTAGGTTTTTATTTTTGCAATTTTTGTGCATAATTCTAAAGTCAAATAACAAATGAAAAAAAAAATAATAATAATAACTGCATTCTTCCATCTACACATACTGATGCAGCAGTTCTAGTCAGTTGATCGGTGCGATTATAATGAAACAGTTGTTTTTTCCTAAATTTATGGCTCTTTTACAGCTCTTCAGCGTGACCATGCTCGCTTTGATCGGTTACGCGCCCAGCTCGGTGTTCATACAAGCCCGTCGTTAAGTCCAAAAACTGAAGAACAGTCTTTGAAAACCATAGATATTGATTTGGAGCAGTTGCGTAAGGACTGTTGGTTAGGTATACCTCATAAATTACGACCAGCTATTTGGCGGATATTACTGGTAAATAGTCACTAACTGTTTCAACTTTTTTTCTTTCATCTATATTTATTTTTGTGTTTTCATGACTTCGTTTAACATTGCTATTTAGAATATCACAAACAGCATAATTATCATTTTTTAGTGTTGAGTTTTTTCTTTCATCTTGCTTAATACTTTTTCTGTAAATTAGGGATATCTTCCAACAAATTTTGAGCGTCGTGAAGTAACACTTGCGAGAAAAAGGGAAGAGTATTGGCGTTATGTGGAACAATATTTCCATACTCGGTACGACGAGCAGCATCAGGATACATTTCGACAGGTTTATAGATTAAACTAGTCCACTGTTTTCTGCATTTTCATTAAAAATGCTATTAAAAATGGAATGTCAAATGAATTGATTTACAGATACACATTGATATTCCACGTATGTGTCCCCTGATACCACTGTTCCAGCAAAAAGTAGTGCAGGAGGTATGCTGTGATTGTTCCAAATTTTGGATACTTTTTTCTCTAACTTTTCCTGATCTTATTTTTTCTTATTTTTGCAGATCTTTGAACATATTTTGTATATCTGGGCAATTCGCCACCCAGCAAGTGGTTATGTGCAAGGGATAAATGATCTTGTCACACCTTTTTTTGTTGTGTTTCTATCAGAATTCGTATCTGACGGTTAATTTATTTTTTTAATTCACTAACTGAATTTTAACATTACTGAAATGAAATCTTATAAAAACTAAGTAGTGAAAGACAAGTGCTTTGAATGAAGAATAATTTTAGATACAGAAGTTGGCACATATGATGTAAGTCAATTACCACGAGAGCAAATTGAAATTGTTGAAGCAGATAGTTTTTGGTGCGTCACAGCATTGTTGGATAAAATCCAAGATAACTATACCTTTGCACAACCAGGTATTCAGCGTAAAGTGTCGCAGTTACGACATCTGATGAGTCGTGTTGACAGTAAGTTCACTTGCATGATTATATTTTCCGAATTTATGAATAAATCTGCATGAAATTCTGTCATGAGTAATTACAGATTTCAAAGTATAACATTCCCTTTACTTTCAGAGCAGCTTCATCGTCATTTGGAAACACATGGTGTTGAGTATTTACAGTTTGCATTTCGCTGGATGAATAATGTTCTCATGAGAGAAATCCCTTTGCGAGCCACAATTCGCCTCTGGGATACTTTCTTGGTGGGCTCCTGTCTGATTAGGCAATATGTTACACTAGTTTAGTCCTGAAAGAATTTATTGGTAATTAGAAGATGTAGTTTGTTGGTGAAATTGTTTCTTTTGACCAGACTCGCCGGATTCTGAAAATTTTTACTTAGATGTCCAGATTTCTTCAGAGTGAAAGGAATGGTTTTTCGCAATTTCATGGCTATGTGTGTGCAGCTTTTCTTCGAATGTGGTCTAAGCAATTGCAAGCAGAAAAGGATTTTCAGGTTTCTAAAAAGTGTCATGTATCTTGAGATTAATGAATTCGTTAATGAATTCAGTACTAAATTGCAGGGAATAATGCTGCTATTACAAAATCTTCCGACGCATAGCTGGGGAGATCAGCAGATATGTGAGTTAACAGCAGATGCCTTTTCTTTGATGGCACTTTTCGATGGCGCTAAGAATCATTTGATACAAGATGTGAGTACGTAATAAGATTTAGAAAACATTTGCTACATTGAATTACTCCTTGTTCTTTAGTTTCTTTACCATTGAACAGTCCGCACTATGTTTAACTTATCACCATTTAATTTCTCGCCATTTCTCATAGTTTTCAAAACACCAAGCGAAATTGGTATGTGCACTGTTTATAATTCAGTTGTCTTAAGCGGAGAGATGCAAAGATGTACTGGCCCTTTTCACTACCTTTCTATTCCTATATTTCACTGAAAACAAACCTTACTGGAAACCGCCAATAAAACAGCTGTTTAGATATCATTGTAGACGCTACGCTATCTTGCAGGGTGCGTAGGAGACTTCCACTTCATAAATCCTTTACAGTTCCCAAGGTTCCTGGTACACAGTCCCCTATCTTAGCAAGGTTAAAAAAGTGCCTAACCTTATGGTGGTTGTGAGAATTCTACTTCTGATTTCATAGCAAATAAATTATTTGACTACTGTTATCAGCGTGTTTCCACATAAGACATAACATAGAAAGTTTTTACCAGGTTTAATCGATCAAAAGACAAATATATGATCACATAGTGTCAAAAATCATTGCGTGGAACTGCCTACGTATCTTATGGAAGAGTACATGTTACATATTCTCACAATTCGAAGTCGGTTCGATGCAATCTCAACAGACGATAGTTTGAAACATGAGTACTGTGCCTTTCATTCTCGAAAAAAAAAAAAATCAAATCGAGAGAAAATGTCTACCCTAAATTGCAATAAAGGTACTCCTCAATTAATAAGTGGAACCCATTGCATGAAACGAAAATGTGGACTAGAATTAACATTTCAAAATAACTATGAGAAATTTGTATACAAATGTGATAAAAGTGGCAAGTAAGAATGTAATATAAAAGTCGAGGGTCAGAGGTAGTCTCGTCCGAGAACTACAGCAGGTATGTGTTACAGTGGACTGGAGGAAATAGGCAACGAAACAAAATATAATGCATGCACAAAACCAAACCCAACACTCGTTTTCAAAAAAAGTTACTATAAAATTCAAGTACAACGTTTAGCTTGTAAACAAAGCTTCAGATGTGGACAACGAATGAAAACGACAGCTAGCAATACACAAGTACTTAACACAGACATAAACCCTTCAATTTACTATACAAGTGGTGAACTATTATTCCCGTTCAGCTCTTCGCTGTCTTCGAAGTATCGGATTTAAAACTATTGAACTTGAACCTGGATGCATATCAGTATTGGCTGAGTCATCGTCAGGATTGTAGCTCACATCCACTTCTGTATCGCTGTCTGAATCCACCGCCAAAGCTTGCACTTAAAAAATTTACCACTCGACTTCAGTGCAAACATTTCGAGCTTTAGGGAACCAGATTAAAAAAAAAATTATAGGACATTTTCTCAAAGATTACAGACGAAGTACTAAAATGTTTTCGCCCCTTCCAAACTACATAATGGTAACATACGTAAGCGAATATCTCGCCGGTTTGTGCCTGGATCAAAAACAATGTTTAGTGCTTCACGATCACCAATCCTCAGCAGAACACCATTACTTCGTTCTGAACTTTCGCCATTTTCCGAAATGTGACCGTCATCATCTGCCCACTAAAAACAGGAAAATTTCTCAATTCACGTTGAAGTGAAACTCAACAATTGTTACTTGAAAAAAATAATTGGTTAATCCTTAAAGTGTTGGTAGTTTCTTTTTTAACTAGAACTTCTTACTGACCACATGAACACCATCAAGATATCTTGAAATTATAAAATATTCATTACCAAACTTTGTGGAAAGAACATACCTGTTCATCTTCATCATTTAAACTGCCATTAAGACTATGTGTTGATTCATATAAGGACTCATCACTTTCTTCATCAGAATTCTCTTCTGATGAAGAATCCGTAGCAGTTGTATCACCAAGCGATGTATCCATTTCACTCGATGAGCCCATATCATCATCTCCATTATCATCACCTGTTTCTTCCTTCAAGGAATTCTTTCAACACTGTTAAGCATTTAACAAAGACTAAAACACTTAAATGTCCGGTTAGGCAACCACCAACTTAAACATGTACAAAGTTCGCAACAGCTGTTAATTCCAATTGAACATTTTCAAGGAACTATAAGAATTAAAAAATATGGACGATTTCTGGAAGAATTTATACAGTTCTGTCATTCACTAAAATGCAAAAAATATGTACTTGTTCATCATCACACTCGTCTGCTTCACGGCGTTTCCCAACCTCGTAGACACGGCAAACATTTTCTCGCAACTCCAACAAATCATCAGCATTTCCATGAGCTTCAATCAAAGCCATATACTGATCGTTATGATCAGCACAAAAATCGAATAAAGCTCGTTTTGCATCCACTGTTGTAATTACCTGCAAAAAATCTGATCTTTCTTAAAATCAAAAGTACTGGATGTGGATAAAGATAAAGAGAATAGACAACTATACTTTACATCACACTAGCTCTCCATATACCAGGAATGAAACTGGAGATATATTCAACATAGTAGTATGTACGGTCACTACTAATTCTAAATTATACCTTGTAGGTAGTGGAATCGAAAGTTCGAAATGAACAAGCGAATGTTTGACGAAAGCGATCATCTATTTCTTCTACATCCAAATATGTAGCTGAAAAACTTCACAATTATTTTAATAGTTGTAGTGGCATCTCAATCCAGATCATATTAATGTATAAACCGAAGCGGTTTTACTCTTCATCAAAATAAAATTAGTTGAATTTTCAGCATAGAAAAGAACATACATCCATAAATAGCATCTGTACCACCGCTAAATACAATTTTACATTGATCGAGTGCACTGATACTATGAAGCAATTTGAAATTTCGCACATCCCACTAGAAATTTCATCATTAAAAAATGAGCACCATTTATGAGGACTAAAAAGATTTCTACCACCTTAGATTTCATCCCACCAATCCGAATTTGAAATGACACAATCAGAATGAAAGCAAAACTACTGCACATTGGAAAGGTGGAAAAAATTCTGCTGCCTATAATAACTTGAAAAGGAGAATTGATGTTGCAAAGTTAGAATCTTGCTCTTAAATTGCTCGGGAATTAAAAGAGTTTGTCGACTCAATACAAACAAAAATAAATGAGAAACAAGTCGATACCTAACACTACTGAACACGTTTTATTTGTACTAAAACAAAAAATGGACATCAGACGAACCACTTCAGAATTTATGATAACTTCGTTTCCACGTGGGTGGAACATACCACAATTAACAGCATTCATTTTGTCGAATTTGTGCACTATTTTTGTCCCCAATCTCGGATCCCATAATATACCATCATTTAATATCAATTCATCTCTCGGGTCAAATGTTGCCCTAAACTCACTATTTTATAGATACTCAAGAATACCTTGTAACTAGGCAGAAAAATTTTTCTATGTCCTAGTAACCTATACTGAAGAAAAATTTCATACAAACTTCTGCCTTGGAAATTCAAATGCCACATTGTGTTGTGCGAATGACCATTAATGGATAGAGTTAAAGTGGAGGAAAAATGGACATAATATGTATCAAATATTGTTGACTATCCAAAAATTAGTACATGTTCAGCAAATATTGCAAAGAAGATACGAACCAGTTTAGATTAGAATGGCATAAGAAAATCAACATATTTTGATAAAAGATCATAACAGTGATCTGAGTATATACGCAGTCTTATTTTCCATTAAATAATGAACTAACTTGTTACGGGTATAATTATTTGCCAAAGTTTCATCAAAAAGGCGAACCACAGCTCGACCAGTTTCCGTATCATAAATCTAAAGTGAGTTTTAGCTACATAATACAAAAGAATTGTAAATCAGTTTATCATTTGTAATTACTGTAAGAAAAATACCGTTGCTTTACTCCCTTGCGTTCCGATGATACGATCTTGTACTGTTTTATTGAACTCAACAAAGTATTCATCCGGAAAATTGATCATATGTTCCTGTGTCTCACCAATACGCCAAAGCGAAGAAAGTGGCTTCACAAAAGCCGATGAAGTAAGCAATAGTGAACCATCCTGAAATATTTCGTAATAACAGTCGAAAATTAGAAATCGAGAATCAATGTTTAAAATATCCGAGTATACGATAAATTAAATAGAAAAAATATGATTCACTTTTGACTGTTCGATACCAGTAATTGCACTGTGATGGCACTCGGTGTTCGATTCTTCAGCACCAGTATGTATATTAAACCAGTTCAATGCTCCAGCATAAGAACCTAATAGTATGTGTTCATCATCAATCTGAAAAATAATGAAGAAATCCCTTGACAAGTCGCAAAAAAAAACACGTTGTGTATTTTGCAGTAAAAAATAAGGAGACAAATCCATTTTCCCCTAAATTTTTTGCAGAAAAATTACCGAAAAACTGCAGCAAGTAAATGTCTCCTCGCTTTCCGTAAATGATCGCACTGGACGAAAGCGACTGAAAGCAAAATGAATGTCCTCTCTGAACCTTTCCCGATTCCACGCAGCCGAAATTAACTAAAATGATGAATTACTAACAGCATTTGTTTTGCAGACATTTAATTGATTAAGTCACTAGTTATAATATTTGACACTATTTTTTTTTTATAATATTTACAACATTTGACAATATTACAGAAAATATTAAGAATGTTTTAGGATATAAATTCAATTTCTTTTCGCTCAATATATCCCATTTTATGCTGATTTCAATGAAAACAATTTACCGGACGGCTTAAAAATCGATTAGCAATATTTTTTGGAGCAAAGCGTTTACGTTGTGGTTCCGGACAGTGGTGTGGACTGCAACAAAAATATTAGAGTCTTTGTTGAATTTTTCTGAATAAAAAATAAACTGTTGTTTAACAGAAATTAGCTTACTGGATTTTTTTTTAAAGGAAACTACATAAATCAGTTTCAGTGTAACATACTAGTAAAGCGAGAAGGGAGGACATGTAGATATCGGATTACAACATGCCGAATGTTGCTTTCTGAAAAATAACTCCAAAATTAGAATTTATTCTATGATTCTATCGCTGATTCACTCCAAAAATTTGGGACTAAACCAAGTCAAATGATACCTGAAAAAATCTGTAACGATTTCGTCAAGATCTTTTGGAGGAACCGGCATTGCCGACAACTGAGGGTTTGTGGAGCTTTCGGTACTGTCCGTAACCTCAGGTTTCCTAAGGTCTGTTGAATAGTAACTTAGAAAAGATGTTCCTGGTGAGCTTCCATCACAATGACGACCTGAAAAAACAAACATATAACAGTAAAAAAGACAAATAGTACCGGCGAAATGTCAGTTTTTGAAATCACAGAAAAATAGGTGCTTTAACAGTTTCCACTGAAAAAACACGTAGTAACATTGCTTATTATTCCTACACAGTAGCTTTGAGCATCACAGATACGCAATGTTACTAAAAAAAGAAACTTACGTCCAGCAATATTCAACACCTTTGTTGATTTTGACATGGGTGTCGAGGATAAGGAAGCTATCTGATCTCGCTGTTCATTAAGAAGCATGTGTTCTGCCCTTTAACAAGATATCTACATGCAATGAACATATCGTTCCACAGTTTCATTTAAAACATAATTTAATAAACATTTCATTATTTCGATATTTAGCAATACGTAACTCAGTAAAGAATATAAGACTGCCTTGTTGGGAAAAAGATAAAGGTGAACAATTTATGCAAACTAATTAAGCTTAATCAATTCATTCTGCAAAACTTTACAAGTGTTAATCCGTGACACGGAAGGAATGAAAAAATAAAATTTTTGCATTTAACAAAATTTGCAAGTAATATACAGTTCCAGGAACAGGCTTTTTCTTTTAACTAAAAGCAAGTATATTAAAAGATATTGCAGTGCCAGATACTTTGATTTAAAATCTTACGTAATGATGGGTGCTGTTAACCGCTCACTTCTTCGACGCCGATTATTGCCATCGAAAGTGCTCAAAACCAAAGTTTTCCCTGACACAATATCGCTGTCGACATCAGAAAAAGTGTTCCCAAAACATTTTGGCTAAAAAACATTTGAAAAAATTTTCCCTATTACGGAACGATATTAGAGTTCAATGACGAAAAGCAAAACAAAATTACCAATGGACCAATAGAAAGCAGACGAGTGGAGACACGGCTTGCGGGTATATCAGGTAAATTGGCTTCTTCTTTTAAATTCTCCGCTGTTTTGAGCATACCCTTTTTAATCAGATGTTGATGTATTAGTTGTAGTAGTTCTTTGTCGTTGTAAACAACTTTGGTATGAGCAACGATATGCCATTTCCAAAGTTTTTCCTGTAATATTCACAAAATCTTTTTGATGAAAATATGTAGCCTGTTGAATCATAGCATAATTCTCATGCGTACAGTTTTATCTTATCATTATCAGTATGTTCAAAAAATAAAATCAGCAAAACATGCACTTTCGTCATATCTTTTGGAAAATCATGGATTCGTTTTCTGGTGATCTTCTCAATCAGCAAATGAGCTTGTTCACAAAACCGAGTGTGTTCAGCACGTCGTTCCTGCAGAACTGGCTCACGCATTAGACCTAAAATTAAGACGAAAGATACTCAAAAAAACTGTCACGTATTAATAACTGTACATTAAAAAATTTGCTAAAATTGTACCACAAAGCTCGCTGTTTGCAATGAGTGGCATTACTTCGAGGATTTGACGAACATTTTCGGAACGTGCTAAACCATTGAGAATTTGACACGCAATCCCACGAAGCGCATCCGCTTCTGTGATTGGCGTTTCTGTGTACAATAATTTTTTCAAGATCTACAAAGAAAAAAAAAATAGAAAAACCGCGAAACAAAAATGAAAAAAAGGATTAGACAGTTTTTCTTCTTCTTGCAATAACTAACAATTTTCAACAGATATTTTCTGTATAATACTTTAGCAGCATAACTGAAACTCGGAGCTGCAAATAGAAAACTTTGAAATATAGAGAGTAACAAAACAACTCGCTGTTCTGAAACACCTCCCAAAAGAAAGAGAATTCAGAATATCTATTTGGTTACACTCAACATTACATAAACGAACTCCAGGCATAAGATATAACATAAAATAGATCTATTTTCAATGGAGTATTAAGATTAAAAATCACCATAATTCCATTATTTCTTCGAATAGCACTCCACACTTTATCCAGAAAAAATTCCATCTGTGCTTTTTTTTGTTTTCGTATTTTATAAGGGGTTCCGACACTTCGACAGCTTATTCGAGAATCAGAGACGTGTACTAAAGTGTCACTAGTTGAAGGCGATAAAGCTAATCGTCCACTATGCTGAAAAGGATGACCTTCCTCGTCAAAAGTTGTTAATCCTCGATAGTTAGTTAGACAGCAAACACTTATTCATCTGCACGTTATTCCTCCTTACAAAATATAAGTAATTTTGGAACCGCAACAAACATCCATGCTATTTTATTTTAATTATGTGGTTTGCTAACTCAGTCTGCATACGTCTACTTAGAAATAAGCAAAACATTTCAGATGACGAATAAATTCTACTGAATCACTGAACACACTTCTTACACTTTAAAGAAATTCAAACCGACCCGTTCCAGTGGAGCACACACACAATTTATTATCACCCTCAAAGCAGCGAACTGAACTTCAGAGTCTGCTATCATTTCGCCTTCGCAAAGTTCCAAAATTACTCTGAAATTCAAAGCTCATGAAACCATTAACAAAAAACTCAATTCAACTACACATAAAATCTAAATGATCTCATCCGCAGTTCTCTTTAACCACACCGAACATGTCTGCTTAAAGAAATATATTACCCGAGAGATTCAACATTTTGGTCTCGTATTTTCAATGTACTCTCGCAAATATCCATCTGAATCCGAGGGACGGCAGAACACATCCACAGAACCTTGAGTAAAAAATTCCTATTAATTTAAGTGCACATTACTGCAACAGAAATTAAATGCTTTGTGCCTACTGTAGAGCAAAAGCTGATTTCCTTCGCAAAATTATTCGCATCATTTCCAGTTCCCTTGATGTATGGATGAAAAAAAACATTACTCAATTCAAATAACAGCAGCAAACCCAATCAATCAGGAAATGAAATCAATGAAAGTGATTTAATGCGAAGAAAGGTTGAAATATGTGGCAAAAAAGAACCTACATCAAGAGACATTTTAAGAATTTCAACTTTTGAACCACCATTCCAGGAATTAGCTGTACCGATTAGGAAATACATAGTGCGAATAACTCCTAAACGTTTCAATTCATCAACAGGTCGCCAAGATGAATGCAAACTCAAAGTATGCAGCAGAATCCAAACGCAAGTTTTCAAATTTTCGTCATCCAGATGCATCCCCTGTAACTAAACTCTTACGGAAAAGGAAGTGCAACAGGAAAAACGAGGAATTTTTTGAACCAGCATTTCTACTTAGAAATGCAGTATATTTGTTTAGCAAAGAGAATATTTGAACTAAAGAACTATGACAGTATTCAACCTTGTTAGCCGGCAAACCATGAACACACGAAGGGATGACGATATCCCTGAGACACTGTAATCGAGATACATGTGTTCGCTTCAGATGTTCCACTTTGACAAAAATGTGGGCAGCCATATAACTGAAACATCACAAAAAAATGCATAAACATTAGGTAGAAAAAAATAGGCAATTGATATTAACACTCAGTTATAATTGCTTTGATCAAACAATACCCCGAAAACCTTTGGAAGCTTTTATAAATGAATATACCTTCTAAAAGCCATGCAAGTATTTCGAATAGCTTGCATACTAGTATAGAGATGTTCATCAGAAAGAACAGTATCCGAATCTTCTTGCAAAAGGGTTAAGGTCGAAATCTGGAACAGAAAAACATGAACAAACTGGAATCCAGATCTATTCGCTTGTCAAATAGTACTTTATCACTAAGAAAATTAGCGCGTGTATATTATTTAAATTTCGTTCATACTTTTCTCTTACAAGCTTAGCGGTAGATTAAAGAAAAATAAAGATATGAGCGACAGAATGAATGCTTCCAGATGCTTTCACCCAGAAATTAAAAACTGTTGCCATCATAAGTATTTGTAACCAGAGTACTTCAGATCGTATGATGCTATTTTGAAATTTTTACATAATTAAACAGGCGTCGAGGCCCATCATAATCATCGAATCGTTCAAGTACAGGTCGAAATTGGAATGCATGAGTAAAAAACATTGACGATCCAGCGCGACCACTTTCATAACTATGCTCCAAAAGCCACAACGCGTAGCTGGAAATAAAGATTTGAAATTTTATAACAAGCACTAAATTATCCTAAATGTATTGAGTGTGAAGAGGTGGTTTGCAATAAACATCTAATTTCTTCTCGAGGATGGTTTGGGGTCGTCAAATGAAAATCATCCAGGTCAGGTTTTTGATATGCTTAATCGATTGAAAGATCTGCCAGTGACTCAGGAAATATTTCACACGGATTCAAGGACCACGCTATTACAAACACAAACATCATCATAATGTCCTAATGATAGTATCTCAATCCAATGAAATAACAACAAAATACATGAACTTACTGAACGAGTTCATTAAGAGTTTGTTCCGGCAAAAGGCAAACACCTTCCATTGCATCTGCATTATAAGCCAAATAATAAAGACATGTTCCAACAACAACTGATGCCAGTGAATCACGTTCTATACGAATCAAAAGATCTACACCACCAGCGGCCACAAAATCCAGCGCGAGTCTACGATGAACCAAAAGACCAGCAAGATACTGGAAAACAGATCACACTTAAAGAAAAATTACCTGTGAAACTTCTTTTTTCAGGATACAAAAATTCTGGTTTATGAGGTTGAAAATCCAGTGTTAACACTTGACAGACTAATACCATTTATCAAAAAGAATTTCCATCATCTTAAATCACAAGGAACCTTTAAAACATCAAATATGAGACGGCTATCGTGATTTCGAGCACCTTCCAAATAGCGCAGAACAAGATCCAATGAACGATTCTCATAAGTTTCTTTCAAAAGCTGAAATGTTTAAAATAAAGTGCTGTTATCCAAAGCATTCTGGCATATTACACTAGTGCTGAGAACAAAAAAATAAGAAATTCTATGTTATGCTAAGAATAACAGTATAATACCAATAATCCATTTGCCCTACAAAAAAAAAAAAAAAAAAAAAAAAAAAAAACTGAAATACTCGGTAGTAAACTATCGCAAGAAAGAAGCAAATACAGCACATCCTGATATTCTCCAATAGGTGTAAGATACTGAATAATTAGGCGCTGTTCCATAACAGTTGTTAAAGGAAAGATTCGGTATTCTCCCAGACGTCGTTTTTGCATTACAGCCCACTGACTATTACTCTTTCCTTCAATAAATGATCCCAGCGATGTGCTTGAGCTACGAGTCTGAAGACAAAAAAATTAGAAGTCATATTAATGTCATGAATCTTCCAGTGTCATATAAATAATGTAAAAGGTACTTTTTATGTGTTTAAATATTTGTCGAAAACAAACCGATCTTTAATCTAATCAAAAAACAACTTTTTCGAGGGGTAGAAAAAAAAAAGACAATAAGAAAATCAAGAGAACAGGTAGTAAGAGAAATCAAGTGCAACATGAAAAATGAATGAAAATGCGAAATTTATTCAGAAAAATAACTAATTTGTACAAACTTCATAAAAACTAGCGTGTTGTTCTCTATCCAGTCTAACTTTTTTCCGCGGTGGTACGGATAGTTCTAGATTCTCGGATACAGAAGATTCGTAGATCGGTTCACTAAAACTACACAAACTGTCAACAAAGAAGTTTAACAGTTTCTTATCTTGAAGAAAATTTTTATAAGACATCAACAACAACAACAAAGAAAAAAAAAAACACTGAAATAAACCATATTCTTAGGATGGATTTTCTTTCTTCACTGTACAATGATCCAGTAAAATTGTTCGCAATAACGGCAAAAGATGGCCCTGACGCTTCCTCTCCACAGTACTTTGCTGTTTCGCGTTCCTTTAAAACCTATGATAAATCAAGCTTCTTAAAAATATTGAACTTTTTTAAAAATTAAATTTGTTAAGATTTTTCAGTGCAACCCAACGAAAACATAGCTATTAACATAAAGAAACTGTCCGGCAAGCACTGATGTATTTTAGTTACATTTTATAACACGTGATTTAAATTTCAGCCGCATCACATTGATAACCGCAATTAGCGTTCCACTGCAAGCGATTCCTAGTAATAATTCTATTTCTGCACATATTTTATGAATACGCTGACTTCGTTTAATATTTTCACTTTTTTTTGCTTATTCTTTCTTTCATTTATCATGCAGTACTTTAAAAAATAACCAACATCAGCCAGTGAAGGTCTTTCACCGCTATGGAATATTTCTCGGGACATACCAGCAAATGGACCACTATCTTCAACATTTTCCTCTTTATTTTCCTTATCTGGTTCTGATATTTCCGCAGTTTCTTGTTTCTCTTTTTCCATTTGTTCCTAGAAAACGTACAAAATAAAAATAAAGGGAACAGTCTACAAGTTTAACAGATATATTAATATATTAATCATAACTTTTTACGATGTAAAACTACTACCAAAAGACAAAATAACTTACAAACAAATCCTTTAAACGCCGTAGTGCAATTGGAATGAGAGCAGAATTTTCTAATTTAAGACTACTTGCAACACTTGTTACATCTAAGGCGGCAGCAAGCAGACCAAAAGAGTACGCCCTCAAATAACAATTGGTTGCATCGTTTTCTGCCCATCTATAAAGTTGCGGTATCAAACCTTCTGGCTCCTGAAATATTTTCATATACGAATCAAATTCCGAAAACTTTTGTGAAGTATTTTTGAACTATGTTTTCATGAGGAGGTAGAAATATCAATTAAAAGTTCTGGACAAAGTATCAGTTACTAAAACTTACGGATAAGACAGTAGAATCTAAACCGGGAATAATATTGAGCAACAATCTTGCGGAGGCAATATTTAATTCAACATCATCGCGCGACATCAGATAAGACACAAGAAGCTAGAAGAAAAGTTTTGAGATACATGGAATCAGCAGCGTAAAAAACGAGTAATGAAATTACAAAGTGCACTTAGAATGTTTGAATGAAAAATCATGCAATCAAATTTAGCAAAGAATGTTATAATTTGTATGAAATTCATCACACAGTACAACTTTTTCTAACCTTGTTCATGAATTCTTCGTAGCGACTGATAACTTTTAGCAGGTGGCCCAGGATACAAGAAGGATATGTTTTAGCCGGATGACGACCATCCAAAGGGTCAGGATCTTGCTTCAAAAAATCATCAGTTGCTTCTTCTATTAATTCCGAAAGTCTGCAATCTTTTAATGAGTCAAAATGATTCAGTCAAAATCAACCAATAAAATTGGCCGAGAAAGCAATGGTGATAACCCCAACAACCAAATTATTTCGAAGTTTTCTCAAGAAATAAACACCGTTTTCTCGGTCCTAAAAAAAAAAACGACGGAAACCTTATAATAGATAGTTTGGCACTGAATGAAGCATTATCATTCTCAGCTTCCCAAACAGCGAGAATAGCTTGCAATTCTCCCGCAGCGCTCGACTGGCTTGGATGAGGCAGATGAGTCGCATGTGTCCCGTGGTTCGACCGCGACGGAGCAAACATCGAAATACAAAATTAATCTGGAAATGATCTAAATGTAAAACAAGAATAGAAAGTGTGGAATTGAATAATAAAATCGCGAAGTACAAACTTCATTTTCGGAATCAGTGCATTTAAGATCTGTTATGTTTTACTTTACTTAACACCTTTCAACTCACTTGTCGTAGCTTAATATACCGTAACATAAGAAAAACAAATCCCTAATATATACACGTTTTGCACAAACCCGGAACTTTTTCAAGTTTCAATAAGCCACTGATAACAGATTGGCCGCGCCCGCAATATATGGGAATGCGGACTTCCCAAACATTGAAATGCGTAGGTTATGGAATATGGAGCTACCAGTGACTTTAATTGAGTGGCGATGGATGGAATTTCATTACCCTTCCATAACATTTATCTATTTCTCTTATCATATGAGACATTACTAATAATATTACTAAGTTTTAAAACAATCTTTCGGGCAGTTTTCAATTTTCATTGCATGAAAAGCCAAATTATTTGTTGACTAGGAAAAAAAAAAAACTTTGTAATTCATAACAAAACAATAAACAAGTTAGCGGTAATGATCAGGAGTATTGCAGGTGAAAAGTTAAGTAGACTGGAAGCTATTCAGTCTCTAAAAGAATACTACGCAGTTTGCAACTAAAAACCTGTCATTATTATGTCTAGCACTAGACGACCAAAAAATTTTGATGGACTCAGCTGTTCCAGTAAGTGTATATCATAAAGATGAAACTATTTAAGACAGTTATTTTGCCGTCAGCATTTCAAGTATGCTCCATATTAGTTTGTGAAAACCCTTCACCAAACTAAATTCATTTAATATTAACTTGTCGAATTCAATAACTTCATTTATTTTGTGGAGGAACGATGGTTTATATAAAAGATATATTACCGTATATGAACAGAGTGCAGGTGTCGACCGCTTTTTAGGATCACTAACTAATACATTGACGCTTTCAAATTAAGACGAATGAAAAAACCAACTTTTGCTCTTCCTCTCTCTCTCTCTCAGAAAATGACATATCACGTGAAAAACTGCGCGTGCATAAATAAGCTAACTACCCACGTTGTTAGTTGCAGCAAAAAGCATCTACATTTTACTAAGCCAACTGTTTGACTGAAGCGATTATTCCCACAGAAATTACTGCGACAAAATAGTGCCGAAGATGGGAGTAAAATTATCAACTCAATTATAACTGTCATTGTTTGAACTCTCCTTGCGCACTTTTTTTCGCAATTTCATATTGTTTCAACGAAGGTAGGTTTTTACATTTTTGTACTCTTTTTTGCCCCAGTATTGTTTTCCTGCTATACTTTTCATCATTGTAGCTTACAGGCACAAAAATTCGATGAAAGATTAGAAATTTTAGTAAGAAGACATTGCGTGAAGATGAAGTAAGAAATGACGAGGGAATAACGGTTACAACTTTCTTCCAATAGTTAACAAATTTCTGATAATTTTCAGCAAGGATGTGTAAACGATCTGATAAATTTGAGCCAGAAGCGGGATGATTAAAAAATCGTGATACAGTGAAAATGCTTACAATGACTTTGGTGGTTTCGAAGGTACTGGTGACAACTGCAAAAAGACTAATTATATAAAGCTAATATCAGCGTCGCCGATGCACTTGCCACTACAACTTTTTGAGAGATACAAACCTTCATCCTCACACAAAACATTTACCACTTCCAACCTATGCCACTTATGAAGGCACCCTCCAATCAACCACCCATCATCCGCCTTTATAAGCTGTTCCTTTACTACGGGGCCGCGTTAAATATTATACCTGTGTTAATTCTAGTTAGTCGTTGTTTGTGAACGGACTTGTTGGAAGGTTTTGGGTTCCGATGATATTGCAAAATTATCATGGTGTGGTCATTAGGAAATCATTTATAAAGTTCCATTAAAGATCGTGATTGATACGTGCGATAATATCATGGAGTGAGGCATGAAATCGATCGGTAAAGGCGTAAATATATTTAGGAATAGTTTTCCACTTCGCAGCTTTAACTATGAATGATCGTACTTGCATTTTTTATCTTCAGCGCATTTTGCGCTTATGTGGACTGAAACTGTTTTCAGAGCAGATTTAGAGGAATAACATACTGACTGTGCCTGTTCCAAAGAAAACATGATTTACATTTCTTTGGAAGCAGTTTCGCACATATCTTGCATTCCTGAGCTAAACTGATTCATGTACGCAGAAGTTATATGGATTAAATTTCTAGTAGAAGGTACAAAATAATAAATGGGAACTGAACATGATTGGAAGGTAAAAATGTACTTAGAGCAATATATATTTGACGTGTAGCACTTCTAGAATGCTTTTAAAGATATGAAATACAATGCGCATTGTCCATTCGTATGAATATGCACAAGGTCTCGATTTAATACTGACTCCTTGTTTTTGGATTTCAGTGTGGTGATAGTTAGCTGTCTGTTGAGTTGCTCTGAGGCATAAATTTTTTATTTTGTCAGTGTAATGTATTCTTTTGGCATTTAGAGAGTTTTTTTTTATTTGTCTATGTTTTTAATTTGTAAAAGGAAATTTTCTGACGAGGACGTTTCAGATTTTTGCTATTCACCAAACTGACTTATTATTCCCCCCTTATGTTTTCTCTAAAAAAACTGGACTCTGTAGAAGGAAATATTTATATGTTCTCTGCTTATTATGTTTACTAGTGTTTAGACGAAATTCGGTGATAGATACTAAAATGGAGGTGGTTATATGAAAGAGCATTATCGTCTATGAAGCATGTTTCATTTAATTTCTAAAATTATGATATGAAACATTTAATATTCAATGAACTGAAGCATGCATCGCTGGTCATCTGGAAGCTCACTCACTTCATTACTGCTATTATATCTGTTAACTGTGCTGATAGAAATTAATGATGATGAGACGAAAAAAACTTTCCCAAACTTAAGGTTTTTTGCAGGACAAAATGGCAAGTGATGTAACAGAAAAGTGGGCCTGTTCACAGTGTACTTACGCGAATTTTCAAACGGCAAGGGCATGTACGATGTGTCGCACTCCACGACATTCAGTTTTTATTACTGAGCCACCCTGTACTTCCAGTGCTGTTTGTGGTGGTGAAGAAAGTGAACAACGATGGCCTTGTCCGGACTGCACATACATGAATGTTCTGAAATCTCGTCATTGTGCGGTGTGTATGTGTAGACGCCCTGCTGTTTTTGATGCTGAAGATGAGAAAGAATTTGCCTGCAAAGGTCACAAGTTTTGAAAAATAAAGTGATTTTCATATTATTTCCCAATAACTCTTTGGGGGCAGTGTTTTTTTTTTTTTTCTTTCTTTAATTTCTCTTGTCATTTTATCCAGCTTCAATTATAAAATGTCAGATGAATGTTCAATCGATTTTGAACAAGTTGAAAAGTTAGGAAAAGCTCTGCATAAATGGGATTGTTCGCAATGTACTTACAAAAACTGGCCAAACGTTAAACACTGCACGATGTGTGGTACACCAAAGGATTATGTATCTGTGGGGATTGGAAGCGACATCATTGGTCAGGATTCTTATGGTTTGCTTTATTTACGTTATATGTAGTGTAACTTTATTCAAGTTTTATGTAGTGGTACTTCCCAAACTCAAACTTTATTCAGTTCACCTAGTTTTACACATATTTCATTCTAAAAAGATTTCATTTTTTATTTTTTCACGTAAGCTGTGATATCAAATAGAATTAGGAAAACTGAATACTTGTGTAAAAAATACTTTTGCTCACCCATATGAGATAGTTGGAAGTTTCTTTTTTTTTTTTTTTTTTTGAGGAGAAAGCGATATTGCAGCATGTCGTTCCTTAATCAGGAAAGAAACTGATAACCTACCAGAATATGCGGAAAAAACTACAAAAGGTTTTTAATTGATGATTCTTTTTTTTCCTTTTCTAGCATAAGCACTCTTACACAATCCAGTCTTTGTGAAAGTATTACTGTAGGATAATGAATCCTACCATATATTTTATGTGCATAATTTTCCGACCATATGACATGAGTGCTTTACCCATAACAATTCATTCTATCAAGTTTGCCGAGAAAATAAAATTCATGTTGTCCTTTGTCCAAGACCATTACAATTTCCATAACTGACAGTATTTTAGATTTTGCTGGAGTAGAGGGTGATGACCATCATGGGGTTGGAAACGCAATTAATGTAAATTTAAATAAACGAATTACCTTTCTCGATATGTACCTTTGTCATCTAAATAAATCAGTAAGTTATGAAGTTTTCAGTTTTATAGTATGTCTGTTTTCTGACTGATTGCTTTTATTTCATCATTATCATATTAGCTGAAATAACATGCAGGTTGATACGGGTTGTGCATCATTTTTGGAAACATGTGCTGAAATCCTCCGACAAAGTAGTGATGCTGAAGCTAAACTTATTCATTACATTTATCATTATGGCGAAGGCAATCGAAGAATTAATGGCTTTGAGGTTAATTTTTAATGGTCTCCAACATTTAGTCTAACGCATTCTCTGCTGTTTCTGTTGCACATGTACTGTATGGCCAAAACTGAATACGTTTATGCTATTTATCAACAGAATCACAACTACCAGGATTCTTGATTTATCATATTCCCTGACTGTAGTCATAGAAGTACATTTGCATATAAAGACAGAACAAAGCAATGCTTATGAAGCAATTCCTGTCGTAATGCGTTTTTACTACTTTGTCCATTAGTTGCATAAGACTTCTAAAATTACATGTAACCAACATGTAATTGTTTTAAATTGCACTAACTGGAACTTTTGATATTCTGAGACGTATTCCTCGTGTTACTGTCCACTCTTTACTCGAAAAAAAAAGTGATATATGAAGTTTATGAGAATTTTTCTGTGCGAATCTTTTTGCTGTATATAGAGTTCTGCTTTGTTTCTTACGATACGTACTAAAATACTATTTTAGGGTTTTTTTTTTTTAATCACTGCATTTTCAGACGATGTTGTTGAACGATATTGATGAGGAAAGTGCATTAACAGTTGTCAATCGCTCAATTATTGATATCATTCGAAGCAAGAACAGCAGGACTTTGGCAAGTGTGCCAAGATTTTTCACTGATTCCTTATCTTGCACAGTTGCAATCCCAGGACTAGGTATTCATCGGTTTCTTTTCCATCTGGTAAACCAAACATTGGCTTTTATAAGTAGAACCTACCACCTACGTTTTGAGTTTTTTTTTTTTTGAAAATATAGATTACCTTATATTAAGTAAATTTTTTCCTTTAACTTGTTATTTCCTTTATTATTCTGATTTTTCTTGACAAACGTTTGCTTTGTGGGTTGTGATTAAGAATGCTCTTCTTACTTTTAAAAAGAAAATTAATAATGAATTGCACTGCAATTATTACATTCTTATAATTATCGTACTATTTATTTTTTGGAGCAAGTGGTGATTGTTCTGATGAAATCCACAAGAAAATACGCGAAAGTATGTATGAAGATTATGATATGACACGTGTCGCCAACAATAATGCCTTGTTTACTTTACCGAATGGTATTTTTTTATTAATGAAAATGTCAGTATTCTGCCTGTTGCTGATACATCACCATTACCTGTGATGCATATCAAACTATTTAGTTGGAAACAGTTATTATCGCAGCCGATAGATCGGTATCATTATTTTGGACGGTCTGGGTTAAATTCGTACTAAGCTGATTTACCTTGAACGTGAAAGACTTTTTCCCAAAAATTTTTTCAGCGATTTATGATTTGCGACCTTGGGTAGTTTCTGGTGAAAGTAACTTACGCGTCCTCATGGATCTCGACGATCGTCGTAAGATTTTGAATATTATGATTGTTTTTTACAAATGAATCTGCTACAGTAAGCATTATTCTATAATTTTTTTCAAAGTCTTGAGTTCATCATGAGAATTATTGTTTTTACTACTAGTATCTCGGAGTTAAAAAATGAAAAAGGAAAGTACTTAGGACGAAAATCTGGTACACCTTGTAATGTACCTGTGGTTTCAATTTTAGAAGTTCTTGATACAGTGTGTTGTATGGATGCGTACTCTTTGTCAGGACCAACAAGCTGTCAAACTTATGCACCAGTACTGTTACGAAATCGTGGAGGAGGACATAGTCTCGTGGATGCGGTTTCACAGGTTTATCTGTATATAATTTTGTTAATATCTAAGCCAAGATATCTGTTGGAACAAACTAATAAAAGTGATGTAAAGAGCTAATGAAACTTCTTAAAAGTTTATTGCTTATTTTCTTTCAGGCATTGTGGGGTGTAATTGACAAGAGCAATACGCTTCGTGATGCACTATACCACACGTTATATGCAATGGAAACCAAGTAAGTTTATTTAAACTAAATTTTACTCCTTTTCCACTTTTTAATTTCATTGACTAATTCTAATTCCATCAGGAGGTACACTTACCTTTTAAACTGAAATAGAAATATGAAATAGCGCCTTCGTTCTTCCATCAAATTTTTAGCTTTCGTGGTCGGTGGGCAGCTTCTTTAATGAAACTTGGATTAAATTTTGATATTTGGATGATGCAACGTCATTGGTCAAGCATTATTGAGTGTAGTGACCCTGGTTTCCCGTTAGAGCAGGTATTTGCAATTTTTTTATATGTTTATATGTTATTATTATTACTATTAATTGTTATAGCGAAATTGAAGGGAATGTTTGCAAGACTTGGTTACACTTGTCTAAGTCAGGTGTCTATATCTGAGTAATGTTTCAGATTCATGTACTCGTTCTGGCACAAGTATTGAATCGTCCAATCATTGTATTTCCTATTGAATCGTCAAAATTAAACCCATTTCCCGCTCGAGATGGACGTCCTGGTGGTTGGAAACATCCGGTTGAAGGGTTTTACCCACAATTGCCTGGTTTGAACAATTACCGATTGTGCCCACCTTTGTTACTCGGCTATACTAATGGAAATTTTTATGCTCTTATCTTACCTCCACGTCCTGTTGTTGGTTAGTTCCATTATATTGTTAGATTTTACTGCTCCAAGTGTAAAAAAAAGTAATTGTACGTAAAGTTAAAATCATTAATATACCCTAGTTAGTTTTTTTTTTTTTTTTCGAATAAAACAGAACTACAGCGACTATCCATTGAAAAGATCCCAATGATCGGTAATGTAGTTTGCGATGGACACAAAGGAAGCGATAGATTTCTTTAAGGACAAATTGTTGCTGATGTGGATCGTAACGGGCAGCAGTGGATTTATCATTCAACATTTGGCCTTATAGAAAGAATGATTTGGGTTTTCCGTTGTACCAGGAATATTAGTTGTTCTTGATCTGCGGGTTTGTCATGTGTATAAAGTTGAAAGGACTAAGTTGAAACTATTTAAATTTTTATGGTTTAGGAAGAGTAGATATGGGTCGTCCATCACGCATTTATCGCTATATACGCTGTCCACCTTATCCTCTTACGGAGTACGTGCAATTTGCGATGGATGCAAAAGAAGCGGAAGATTTCGTTAAGGACAACATTGTTGTTGATGTTGATTGGAACGGGCAACAATGGATTTATCATTCAACATTTGGTGCACCTCATGCAAAGAATGATATGGGCTTTCTGTTGTGGAGTAAGTCCTTATCTAAAATTCTTTAGAACTTTCAATGTTTATATATGCACTCATGGTAAATTGACTGCATTTTCGGTAGCGAAGCTCATGAAACTAAAACTGCAATTTCTTCAGAAGACTGGATTAAAGCGCATTTCCCAAAAATAATTCACGAGGATTGCGAGGTAACATTTTTTCTATTCTTGCTTGTGGGTCTATCATATTGCATTTTGGGATACTTCGATTGTTCTTTCCTAGTTTCGAATTGGGTCGAAGCGGTGAATTTTAAGAATTTCTAATGATATGCTCAGTTTTTGTCGCTATGACATAAAATTCTCGCTTCTCACTACTCAACAATGCAACATTTTTAATGCGGTTACATCAGACATTTCAATTAATTTAAAGAAGTTTAATGGCATATTTATAATGCAGAAATGATACTTTTAGGCGCAGAATGTGGTTGCAGTTCCTGAAGATAGTGCTTCAAAAGTGGGTCGGATTGGTGGTAAATCGGTTTAATAAAGTTGTCGTAGAATATTAGAATGGTTATGGTTGTACTAGTTTGTAACGATTTTGGTAGAAGTATTCCTTGACTGATGCAGTAGAAATGGGAACTTTTATTGTCGCGCATCCCAAATGGTTCGAAATACTAACTGGATTCTAAAAATCTTTTGAAGCAGTCAATTGCAGTGTATTATTCGGGTGGTACATGGAATGACGTTTGAATACTGATCTATTTGCGAGTAAAACCCTGCTATAACAGCTCAGTGGATATATTCTTTGGTAGGAAAGATCAATTGCTACTTGTTCTGTATTTGTGTTTTGTAATACATGTTTGAGTAATGTGCTCATTTGCAAAATTGCAAATTACAGTGATTGTATGTTCGGTTTCTTTCAAATGTACTCAGTTTAATCATTTTGAGAATTCACTGTTTCATCCATTTTCCACTATTTTTCGAGTGTCTAAGTTTTGAACACTTACTGGGAATTACAAAATATTCAAATTTATATTGGAGGAGAGCCATTAGGTTCATTTGTGAAGGTTTAAATTCACTGTCACCGTTTATTTTCATTGATGTGTGATTACGGCGTCTTTCGATAGAATGCTGTTAGTAATTTGATCCATATAAAAATCGAGAATCTTTTCCTTGCAGATGTAATGTAAGATTCTATTAGATCTATTATGAAAGGAGAAATACTGCCGGCCTGGGTCGGCTTCCTTTAGTACCCTTTTTTCAGACTGCTAGTAGTGTTGAGGCTTCCGGAATTCAGGTTTCCACAGTGGGATGAGGTCTAACAGCTTGCATTATCTGACGAATGGAGTCCATCCGTAGAATGGAATATACTATTTGCCGGAATTGCAGTAAGAAGTATTATGAATCCAGTTGAGCAGAATAATTTTTGACTTGGAGGCACCTAAATTATTTATTCTGACTGCCGTGAAATTAAAATTGGGACTTTCCTGTATGGTTTTTATGTTTTCAGGCAGACTAAGAGATTAGATATTTTTGTTCCAGCTTAAGGATCAAAATAATGTATAACAAATAAAAATTGAAAGATTAAAACAAAGCTGAGCAAAACACAGAAGGCTTTTCCAAAACAACTGGAGATATAACGAAATCATGCTACTTGGAAGTTCTTACACATTTTATTTTGGCAACCTTATTAAGATTAGCAGTAAAGTAGAGCACAGTGAGATGACAAACTTTATAAATCATGAGAACTTTTTATTGTACAGTATCCTTTACTAAGAGTGTATTATAAATGAAAACCCTGAAAAAAAAAAGTATCATTATTTGTCTGCTACTCTATGCTTTATCTTTCCTCAGAGAAAAATTTGACAAATCCACTTTTGAAATCTAGACGTGAAACCAAATGAAGCTACGCTAAGTATGCCGTCTAAGTCATCGTGACATCTTCTATTATTCGATTAAATAGAAACGCATCACATCCCACTTGTTATTGATATGAATGAAAGATCGAGAAATTTAACCACTATTATCAGTTTTTTATGAAGTAGAATTCTTATGATTAACAATGGGTCTCATTTCATGGAATGACGGACAATAGTTTGCCTTTGTTCTCCATTTATTCTATGGGTTTGAGGCTTGTGATTTAAATGTATGCAAGTAACAACCATCTGCCGAGAAAGATATCTGACTGTTCCTCAAGGAGACGTCAGCTGTTCGTTTTGCCCCAGACAGCGCAGGCAGTGCAGTATACTGTGTGCTGTTTTCCGTACTGAAAAAATTTGAATTAAAGCAATAAAATTTAGAAGCAACCAACTTTTGTTCGTGCTTTCAAAGGGTTCAATATTTCGTGATCTTAAATTTAAAACTTTATGATTTTAAAATAATCATTCTTATTAACCAGAAATATAGTAATCTGTAAACACTGCTAATTATTGGCAAGATGAAGAGGAGTATGAATATTCCTTATCTCAAAAGAAAGCGAAGTATTTCAGAAGATTATATAAAACATTCAAATTAAAGAAAAGAACTTCATCTACCGTCTTGGTGCTAACAATTGTATTCCAAGAGGTATAACTAGGGCATCATTTGGCTGCATCATTTGGCCGTTATTCATGATTCCTGTAAGCTCTAGCGTTAACTGGGATTTCAGAAATAATTTATTTCAGAAGAACATTAGTTGATTTATGAGAGTTCCATTTTCTGAGATACAGCTATTCTGCTGGATATCAATGCTATAAATACTAAAAGAAGCTTCATGAGCATTAGCATTTGTTCCACGGTACTGAAACTTGAAAGAGACTTGCTACTGTCAATCATATCATTCATTGGAAAAGTAGTCAGCAGCGTTAGTGACGGTGAACTCACAGAAGGATACAGTATTTCCCAGAAGTATGATTAGAGTGGAAAAACGTAATGATGAAAGATTAACCTTTTAACCAAAAAGATTCTTCATGGCTATCATTGGTTCGTAAAGCTTTTTGTACTGGCTCCTGAATATCACTAGCTTCTGAGATGACATTTTCATATATTTTTCCATTAGTCCACGGTGTGTCTGAATAAATAAAATTTTGGAGATGGCTTTCACAACGAAATAAGATAAAAATCAAATCTTGTACAGTCATCCGTCCATTAGCATCAAGATCAATCAAACCAAATATATGCTGAAATATTTCGACAAAGTTTCTAAACCTTTGAATGAAGTAAGAGTATTTTTCTCCTCCAAAAAGTTATCCTCTTCACCATACAAGTTGGGCATGATGCCGTAATCTTTACTGAATGAGAAACTTTTCAAAGATACAACAGAGCGTGGTTGGTCTTCACTAGACTGAAAAACAAATCTCTTCCATTCTTTTTGATTGAAAACGGATGCGTAATTGATTTATATGCAGATATCTCACATACTATAGACAAAGCTTTTCGCGTATAATTTCACTAAAAACAATTTCTTTATTCAATTTTTTCATCTCCAACATGCTGTTACCCAATCAAATTATTATCTCTTTATTGTTCAAAATGTGCTTAGAAGTTTTTTTTTTCTGGTCAACAAAAGAAAATCCGGTCAAAATTCTTATTGTTAACCTTCATCTTCAGGAGAGTAAATTCATTCACATCACTCATGGCCGACATTGCTACTGTTGCCTTGCAGTAAAGATGTGATTTTTGAACTCGTTGTTCATTGAATATTCTATGAGATGCATCCATGAATTTATCACGAGCATCTTGAAATAAAAACAGACTACCTTTATTAAAAAACAGAAGTTTTAAATAATAATAGAGCCACCCAGGAAGGAGAAAACATTTCCCCCTCCATTTCAAGACATTTCAGAATCAGAAACATATGACTGGTTATATCAATCTGTTAAAGCGAAATTACGTAAAAGGCAACTTACCTCTACTAATTTTTCTTGTATATCGCTGCTTAAGACTGTATAACAGTAAGCCAAAAATGATGAAAACGACTGATGAAAGAAATGAGGTAATGAGGAAAAGGATGATGCTTTGAGTATTCCAACTTGACGTCACATATGAGAAAGGGTGGTTAAATAGTGTCAGAAGACTTGCGGAACTGTTGGCCGTCAAATTTTGTGACCTTCTATCTGTATAGATAACAGAAAAGTACAAGAATTACGGAAATAAATTAAAATCATAGAAAATTAAATATTTTTTGCAAAGTCAGGATAAAAAATTCGTTACACTGGATAAAAGTGCAACCTAAAGTCCGTGCCACAGATGGTTCGCTTCTTTGACTCGTTTTGTCAGCAAATTCAACTTCAACAATGGCTCGATATTCCGTAGAAGGTAATAAATTACTTAAATTAGTCATCGAAAATGAACTGTTCAATCGTATCTGAAACAGTGATGTGTTTCATGATTTCAAACTATTTCAAGTTTTTGAGACGTTGTCTAATCTAATGTGAAATTACCGTATGGGTATAGTTTTTATCAGAAACAGTAGCATATGAAACGAGAAAAGTTTCGGGAGATTTTATGTAGTTCGAAGCAGTGTAATTCCAACGCAGCTGAAGAACAGTATCCGAAACTGGAGAAAAGAAGGTAATATTGATTTGTGCATTGATTTCGTTACTTTCGGGCACCTGCTCAATCTTCAGCCAATTCGTAGGCTGAGTTGGTACAATACTCTGATCCAGCATTTTCGCTAAAACCCGAAATTGGTACCTGAAGTGTGAATATTCAGAACTGATGCTAAAACTTTGTGAGATATTTGAAATTCTGCAAACCATCAAAATACTGCTTATTTAACAGCTTAGAGATTTTTATTAGATATAGATAGCATGACTATCTGACAAAAACCGGAAACCAAAAGCGAAGTTTTACTTGAAATTTTTTAAGGCCTCGTTATTCCATAATTTTAATCTTCAAAATTTCCAATGTTTTTTCTTTCATATTTGAGACCACTGTCCATATCGGTGGTCAGTGAAGGAATTTACACTTAGTTGTAGTCTTCTGTACTTGAAAGAAGTAAAATAATCCAACCTATTTCCAGGAAGCAATGCTTTGATGGTAACAGCGCGTACATGCCCGTCTACCAGTTCACCCATGATCCATTTTTTATTGCTTTCAGCTCGAAATTCAATTTGAAATGAAGTAATTTTGTTTGGAAATGCATAATTCTTGGGTAGTGACCAAAGCACTTGCACATTTCTTCCGGAAATGAATGCTCGTGGCACATCCATTAAAGGTTCCCTCAATCCACTCGTTGTTGACTGCAGTTTTCCCTCTCCCTCAAAAACTTGCAGTTTAATTTTTCATTTGAAATTAAGGGAATCAAAACAAATTCATTTAAAAATCAAGAAGTCCAAATCAAAAAGACAGAAATAAAAAGAGAATGAACAGAAACTGTAGGTTACTATCATTACTGCATGACAAATGAATGCACAAAAAATTGCTTGCTGTTCATGTGCATTGTCATGTAAACTTCAAAGTACAAGCATTTTAAGTATCAATGGATTTTTATATTAAATTGGTTTGCTGAGTATTTAAATATTTTAAGCCATAATTTAACAAAATGAACCACTTTTTCTTGATACTGGGTAGCAGCGTTCTTAGACATGATGTTCTTTATATCTTGATTTTTCATCCCACTGTCTTTCTCATTTTGTAAAAACACTTCCTTCGCTGAAAATTTTTCTTTTTATAGTTCTTAGAATTTGAGGAGGTTTTACAAATCTAAAGGAATAAAGATCTAAAAAGATTTCGACTAAATAGTTAATTTAAATAATGATTACGAATGATTTTCAAATAGGAACTGGAACGTGTCACATGATTTGTGTTATCAGTCACTTCACAAGTGTACCACCCTTCATCTTCCAGTTGTACATCGGAAATTTGCAAACTGGCTGTCCCAACCAATCGGATACGTTTTTTTCCAATTAATGCCATACGTTTACCATCTGAATTTAGTAAATTTGAAAAAATGTAGGTTGGGGAGATCTTAAAAGCAAAGCACATTTGAATTTGAAGCATTGATATATAAAAGCACTTAATTTCAACTATTATAAATACTTGGAATTCACAAAACCTTTGGTCCAAATGGTCTTCGTCGTTCGTGGTACCACCAAACAAACCATCTGCGCTGTTTCACCAACTATCTTGGTAGAATTTTCTGGTCCTTGTAAAATTAAATTAACCTGCTGACTGATTCGATTATCAACATATAAATTCATCGCTCGACCGCGTTCCAAGCCATTTCCGTATACCTCTGCTTCATCCATTGCTGGACGTGAAATACACTGTAATATGATAGCTGGGTCGTTTTACAGTTGATAACAAAAAAGTATGAACGTACCTGTACACTGCCTGACAATGCAACACTAGAAGTTAATGTTGCATTTATCGGATTCGTAAAAAAATTAGTATGTGGTGGAACACCGAGCTTAACCATTGCATCAATCAGTGCCAATCCATTCATATACACCATAGGAATCTCATAATGCAAATTTAATGCCAAACAGCTCAGCTGAAATTGAAAAATCTTTGACCAAGTAGTTTTGGCTCAAAATTATGAATATTGAAAAATAGCTTATGATTACTATACCTAAAGCAATCATTAATCCCAAAAAAACCAAATTCAATTGAAATATGAACAATGGATCTAAAGCAGAATAACCCAATCCAGAATCATTTTACGTTAAGAACTTTCTTGAAACTACATTAAATTCCAGAAAGACGATAGGTAAAGGAGAACGTTTGAAAACGATAAAATTCCAGACAGAAATCTTGTTCACCTTCCAACTCTTATCTGTAGCAAGTTGTCCCAACATAAGCTGTACATCAGTTGGTGCATGTACTCGTAAATTGTAGTAAACTTTAGGAAATTTAACCGTAGGAGGAGAAAACAGCGCCATACTTTCGCAAATATAAATACCAGTGTCTGCTTCATTCACTTGCTGAATTTGTAAATTGCCCCAAATTTGACGCAATCGTGCTTTTTCGCTACTTACTGATATTGCTGTTTCTCCCGGATATAGCTGTAGATTGATTCAAAAAATACTAAACATAAAACTTTGCAGTCGCGATAAGTCTTTTTTATCTAGGTTTCGTGTTCCACAAGGAACCTATCATCCCTCAGTATCACTCTTTTTTTCCTTTTATCTTTAAAGTTACTCATTTTCAATACGAAGAGTGTAGAAGAGGTTACTCTTGTCCAAATAATCTTTGTAGATGTAACGATGCACTCCAGAAGCGCTGTTTGCCCTTTGACAACATCAACAACTATGGGTCCGTTGATTGAGGATGATGTTACAGGATAAACAAGTGCAGGTTCAATACTACTGTACCTTTTTGTCAGTACCTGCATAATGAAAAATAAGATTATAATGAAAATATATATATATATATATATATATATATATATAAGATAATGAAAAATAGGATTAGTAATTAAAAACTTAATTCCATACATGCACACATATCAAATTCAAACATACAACTACTATACACTACTTCAAGTTTATTGAAAAGATGATCTTTCTGAACACCACTCTTCCTATTCCTTTATTATAACACACATTATCGAACCAAAACGACTCACGAGCATACACCGAATAAAACACCAACAGCTTGGGAATACAAGTAAGTAACAGTTAGAAAATTTCTAAGAAAAAATAAAAAGTTGTAAAACTCACCTCTAATTTAACAAAATGTGGTGATTTTCGGGTTTGGTTGGTAAAAGTGTTACGGACGACACAATAATAATTGCCTGAATCTGACAACTTTGACAAAGGTATTTGTATACCGGATGATGTCGAGAGATATCTTTCATCGCCTGTGGAATGAATTATATATTTATATTTTTCTTTGGTGTCGGTTTTTACAGCTTTTTTAACAGATTGAAATTTTTGCTGGGACAGATAATCTCACTAATAACGTTCAACATCAATTACAGAATTTGACGAAAAATACCAAAAAAATTAATATGTCTTCAGAGATTTAGTCTTTAGAGAGAGAGAGAGAGAGAGCTAATCAAAAGTAAGTTCTATGAAAGAATAAGAAAAGTTTTGTTCCATTATTCACAAAACCAAAATTTCGATAACCGTTTACCCGGTATTCCCAGGAGTCCGTCGTAGCCTTCTTTCTCGAATGTTATCTCCGGAGGGCCAGGAACCACATCAGGCATTCCAGAGCACGGTAAACGAGCAATCTGTCCTTGAAGTGCAGCTACACTCTGAACAAAACGTTTGTTTCAATTACCAACTTGTCTCTAATTATTAATAAAGTGATAATTACCTTCAATTACTAGTGAAATAACAATAAGAATCTAATGGAAGCTTAAAATAATAAAACCTCTGGTGCAACTTTTTCAAATTTGGTAATCCTGGCACGACGAAATTTTACTGGTGCGGACACAAGATGTGTATCAACATGCTTCCCATTAGACAATCGCACACCCCGTATTAAAGCCGAACACTGATAATCCCCTTCGGTATGATGCTTTCCATTTTGTATTTTCAAGCTACAAGTTGAAGTCGATTTCAGAATAATCCATAAATACTGTAACGTCAGCCAAAGAACTTGCTTCATAATGTCCTTAAACTTGTTACAATGTTATTCTATCAAGTTCTAAGACTGACTTCACTCAACTTAAGCATACGATTCCAATCAGAAACGAAAAAATTACGTAGGTCCATCGACAAGCAATTCGTTGCGCATATTTTCATTTTCGAGTTCGCCGATAGGTACACCGTCCTTGATCCAATGTACATCGGCCATTGTTGCCCCACGCCAACCTGGTTCTATCTGACATGACATAACAACAACTTTACTTTTAACCAAATAGTACTGATCTGCATGAAGTATTAGTCGCGGTAATTTGAAGATTCCTAAATTGTAAACGTGATCGCTCTCAAATGAATTTATAACATATTTTTACCAATTAAATTTGTGTTTATCACTAATCCATAAAGATATCATTTTAGGTTAAGCTGCACATTCCCACAATCCTTGTTAGAGATAATCAAAAGAGTATTTAGTTTTTAATATAGTTTCAAATGGCCTCAAACTATATCATTTTTACCAAATATGCGAATCTGAACTTTAGTTTCAGTTTGAATTCAATTTGGATTTACTATTTTTTACACTTCAAAGCCGTAAACTCCAGGAAATGTCTATATAACAAAATTTACAGAATCAAACTTACTATTTTCCGGAAAAGCAAGAAACATCTGGTTTATAAGTAGCAGAATAACTGAGCAATATTTGTACATCAGACAGTACATTAATTCAAATTAAAATACTAAAGGCACGGGGTGCAATAGAGATAAAACGGACTGGAATTTATGGACAGTATAATTTGTTGCTTGGTTTCGTTACTTCTTGTTGCGTGATAAATGAATTCATATTTGTCTATTTCCAATTCTTACTGCAATTTTAATAATAAGTCTTATATCATCTTTCCATCGTATGTCAAACTTTCTACATTACAGCGCACTGAAAAAACGATTATTCTGTGTCTATTTATTATACAGAAGAGGAGCAAACCGATTCGACGATGAAAGGCGGATGAACTTCTGCATTTCGGCTTTTCTGTTGCCATACCATTCATAAACTGACCAATTTACTGATCTAGTCAATGAGATCGATAACTAAGTGTAATGAAATTCAAAATTTAACAGCTAAATAAGAATCCGGCAAACTGCTAATCCACTAGCAAGAAAAAGAATATTTTTAAAAAATATCAGGAATGGACAAAAAAGAAAGGAACAGTAGAATGGAGCACAGTCATTCTCAATGCACACAGTTCAACGAATGTGAAATTCCAGCAGAAACATCCAGAAAAAGTATAGCGTTTATAAAATGCGCTCATAAGCATAGCCAGCAACTTTAATCAACGAAATTAGCATTTCCACACAAGATAAACAATTTAACATAAATCAAAGGAACCGCTGGTAGTCTGTGTATCTGTTTAACAAATTTCCGACTGCTGAAAACGCGAAATGCAAAAGGAAGCTAAAGAACAACTTCTGCAGCCGGCGAAATGATAAAGCATCATGATGTAGAGATCCATAGTAACATAAATTAATGTAGTCTGATATCTTCCACTTAGCTGCAAATATAAATTACAAATGTAGTTTGAATAATCAGAAAGAAAAACACTTTCCCAATTATAGAAACTGAAATTCCTTCCAATTCACCAGAACATTCGGCATTTTAGGAAAGAAGGAAAAATGGCATTCACCAAACGCATGAAGTGAAAAAAATTCAGGTGGCTGTAAAAGATTATACTCTTTTTTACCTATTTCAAGACCATTTATCACATTATCTTAATATCGCATTTCATTTAGCGTTTATTCATCAACGTTTTCTCAACATAAACTGTAACACAATGAATTTCAAAAGGTCAATTTTTTTTTTTTTAATGAAATATAATAAATATAAATAATGAAACAAACTGCTTCTTCCATGAAAATCTAAACTCATTTTACTAAGTAACAAGTGATAACATGAACATGCGAACAATTTCCATCCTATTCGCAGGGCTTTGTAAACATGTAATCCGAAGTTCAAATCAACCTGGAAATTATTTCTCAATAAAAAGGTAGAGTGAAGAAGGATGTGAAAAGTAACGAAATTACAACTATGAAGCAACACTAAAAAAATTCATTTGTAGCATAGATAATCTTAATAAAAGAAATCGAAGATTAGAGGCTAATGTTGAACAGCCAATAAATCTTGAACAACTAGAGCAATCATTTTAAACCGACCAAAAATTCCAGGGAATGTCGAAAAAGTTGTGGATTTGCAATCAATGTTTCATTACTACTTCATTTCAAAGAAAAAGAAAAATGACAATTAAGAATTCTCAGACAATCAATATGCGAACTCGAACAAGGAAAAACCAGATGTGATAAAAATATCTAGCAACTGAATGAGGGGGAAGGCTTTGAAGATTCAAACAAAAAAGGAAAACATTCCATGCCTGACAAAAAAATGTCCAAATAGCTAATAAATAACTTTCCTCCTTTCCTTAACCTTCACTTCCTTTCTTGACTATGCAGACAAAACAAAATAAACGGTCCCAATAAAAGGTAAGTAATGTTTTAAACTAATATTTTAAAAAAAGAGTAGAAAGACTGACGTTGTTGGTAAAGGATGTAATCCTTTCACCAATGTAGAGATCATCCCCTTGCTAATTGTTGACACCTAAGCAAATTGCACTATTATTCGTGGGTTGCTACACATATCCATTGCTACCATTTCACTAAGACAAATGTTATATATTATATGAAGAATCCAAAAGATTTACTATGCAAAGACGAGACGGGAATTTAGGATAACACTATCTCGATTGTTCTTTTGCATATAGTACAGAAATTAAGAAGAGTAATAGCGAGAAAATTCAAGCATGACTGTTTGTCTCAAAATGCATTACAAATTTATAGACAGTAAAATTCTGAATATCAGTCTCAGCAGGCTATCAAAACGTTAAGATATCGCTAGCTACACCTTTTGAAAAGTAAATTCGACCACTTGTTTTGGGAAAAGTTCAACAAGCAATTTTTAAGTACTCGAAGCACTAAATCGCCATTTTTTCAATTGCATGCTTTTACATTCAGCGAAATGACCGCATGTGTAGTCTTGATGAGTTTCATGCACAAAGATACGATTTATCAGATAGCTCAAATTTGAATTGCACAGTTTTTATGCTGATAACTTATACGTTAGCTACATAGCTCTCTATCAACTTCATAATCAGTATTTTATAACTCGAACACGCAAGAATACACACGAAAATATCAGATTAACATGTTAGGAAATCTTAAAAACATGAAATTTTCAAAGTATTTCGAAGTTGTTAGAATTATATCAGTTGCAAATTTTTCAGGTAATGCGTTATTTTTCTCTGGACAAACTCAAGATCAGTAAAAAGGTGAAATGCTATCCCATGGTTTGAGATGAGATCTTCTACTGTAATATAAAGCTCCATCAATTCTTTTTTCCCTCCTCATGACATTCAACGATGTACATGTATCGAAATCACAGTTAACCATATAAGGAAAATTCGAATTCTTTAAATAAGCATTTTTTTGAAATTTCTAACACAAAAATTTGGGAGGAATCAAAATAATCAGCAAAGTGTGGATTTCTTGAAAATCTAAATATTTTGATTTCAATTATTGGCAATTTTTTAAATAGTTTCGAAGCATTTGCCCGTTTGTCTAACAAAAACAGTAAAATAGAGACAAAAAACAAGAAATAACTACGTGACTTGGCGATAACTAACACTTAATTTGTAACGCATTAATCCGATGTAATTGTTCTTTATTTTTTTTTTAACAGAGATACTCGCTTAATTCTAATAAAAGGCTGTTTTTAAAATATCTTTAGGAAAAAAGATATGAGGAACGGAAAATGGACAAACGGTGGAAAGTAGATTAGAGTATCCAAACAACTTAAAGTGCATGCAATGATGGTTGTGAAAAGAAAAAGAAATTTGATTCCTAGCAAAGATAACCATGATTTTTAGTTATCCTCGATTTTTCAAATTTTGAACCACAGGAAATAATTTGCTCAGAAGGAAAGAACCTTTCGGAAATATTCTGGGATTATAAACTTGAAGTTCTCAACCATCTAACATTACGAATATTTTGTATGAAAACACTTAAAAAAAAAATGCAAGCTATCCAACTGCTCTTTATATTTCTATGATTGATGTTGACAGATAAATTCCAGTGAGGAAAGAACAAATTTCCTGTGGAGAAACAAGAAAGAGGTGAGTAAACATCAAACCGAGCTTTGCTTAAGAATAAAGTCCTGAAAAAAGGACTAATGTAAAAGCTTAAAATAATGCAAAATCTATTATATATCTACGTACCGCAAAAATCCAGATAACTTCATTTGCGGAATGTTAGTAATTCAGTAAACTTGACAACCCTAAACAAGATCACTTATTTAATCTTTAGCTGCATTAAGACCATAGCGAAGGATTTGATAAAAGCACGGCGCGATCTACTGAAGTTTCTACGGAATAATTAAGAAAGATTACATGGAAAGAATTTAGAGCGCAATTTTAAAGCATTTTCAACATCGACGTTGATCCACATATACCACCATCTATTTATAAATAGAAAAAAACAATTAGATATATTTTGTAAACAAACGTACTTCTTTATTTTGCTACTTTTTATTCCATCATGACTCCCTCTTTTATTATTCTTCCACCTTACTTCGTATTGTCTGAGCTATTTTTAGACTTAGTGTAGTTTTTGTGACTATCTAGAAAGTTGTATTAAAGAATATAGGAAAAAACCTAAAAAATGCAACAGATTAACTCACAAGCTAAATTTTAATATAATATATCGAACTCCAGTTTACAAGCATCTAATAACATGCTTAGCAATTTCATGTTATTTGTATACTTTATATTTAATTTTTACTCAATCGATTTACTCAATAGTATTCAATCGCAGCACTATTAAAAATAGAATTGTTCACTTAAAGTAAGTTCAATTAACTGCATAGTCTAATCCACTGTTATTAAAACGACTTCCGAACCATACGTACAATGGATGCAGTTAAACAGAATTTTCTTGGATAATCCATAATTTTCAATCTTCATCACAATGTGAAGGAGTAAAGACTGGACTGATTCACTCTCCAGTGTCGAAGCGATAACAACTTTCAAAATTTAATTATCACAAATCAACATTTTTTCCCTTGCAAAAACTATTGGAATCAAGAATGAAAATCGACTTCCCGTCGCCTCTGAAGTTTTTAAAAACCTCTTTCAAGATACTTGACAGCACTTGTAGGAAAGAAAACAATTAGTGCAAATAAGTACAAAGTAAACCATTAAGAAAACATGGCTCTGTACAGTCATGACTGCATAATCAAAAACTAATTAAGGAGACTGCCAAAGCGTTAAGAACAGAGACAATTCTTCTCCAACATGAATTTCCACAACTTTTTACCGGTAACTCTTTGTTAATCGAAACAACACACTTTGCCAAATGATTCGAAAAAAAGTTTTTATCAGCAGATTGATGGTATGAATGTTGCTTCTCCTATCTAAATTTCTAAACATTTCAAACGAATAAAAACATAATTGTCCCGCAGAAAACAGAGAAACTTGCAAAAAAGAAATGCACAAGAGTACAAAAACATCGCTCATTATTCGATCGAAAGAAAAGAGAAGAGAGATATGCATGGCAGTTTTGTAAAGTGATGACAGTGATCGTGTGGCAGTGATAGCAATGACTCTTCCGTCTTTTTTTTTCCATTCATCTTCCTCCATTTTTCTTCTCGTCTCCATTTTCACAAAAACAGAAAATGATGAGTGGATTGTTAAGTTTCCTTTCTTCTTCGAAATAATTTTCGAGGAATTTTGTGTAAGAAGTATCATTAGGGTGCGTTGGTGGAGAACTTCACTCTGATAACGTATGCTAAATAGATAGAGCAAGAGAGTTTTGATAAATATATCTACATTCTTAAAGAGATTTCGACTTTCATTCCGTTGATTGAAATCTATCTCACTTAGGAATATAGGGTAATTGTTCTGCCGCAATAAAACTCTTCAATTTTAAACATATTTCGACATCACATTTGCTTCAGCTATTTTATCAATTTTTATTAAAAGCTTAAGCTTCGAAAATCGACTATCGTAACATGAACATGCACACAAGGTATTCCGATATGGGAGCACAACTTTGCTAAATGTGCATGCCGCAGTGGTTAGTTTCGTTTATTATCCATACATAATAAAAGAGATTTAACTTCCAGTGAAGCACTTATTTTTTCGTTCATGGCGAACCTGAGAACAAGAAGTAGGAATTAAAATCCAAGTGAAATCGAACGAGCTCGAAAAACCGTATTGTGGATTCAGAATCATTAGTAGTGTGTATGTGAGAGACACATTAGTACGTTAGTGGTTAGTGTGACATGGCATGAGATAGTGTAGAGAAAATGTGCAGTAAAATCAATGTCAGAGATTCGAGAACTTAGTGGTAGGCGAGCCAAAAGGTAAGAATGCTGTGCGAAGAGTTGCTCGTAATTGGAAGATAAATGAGAAGACGAGACTGACGGAGCAAAGAGGTCAGCCCACATTGGCACCCCTATCAATCGGATTGAAAAGGCAGGTGGAACGAAAAGTGGAAGACAAGGTGTCTTATGAAGGGGCCGGAAGTATAAAAGGGATGGACACTAAATTGCGATTATTGTTCGACCAGGTATTGTGCAATTTGTCTTGCCAAAATGACAGTAGGGAAAAGGCTGCTCGTCTGGTCATTTTGGATGAAAGGCAGTTGTTACCAAAAGCAGTTGAATGACGGGTGATCGATTATCATTTGCCATATAAGGTATGTTGTTGGTGTAGGTGATCGCTGCAGTGATAATAATGATGATAACTCACAACTTGCTGCAGTGATGATGATTATAATGATAAGAAGTGATCATAGTGATAATGACGACAATAGTTTGATATTATGATTGTAGATGCAGCTCAATGCACGAAATTACTGACGGTAAATTATACATATTTTTTTGAACTTTTGCAGTTCTTTTTTCTTCCGCGGTATTAGCGAAAATCAGCTCATATTATGCTCGTCTTTATTTCTGAAATATATTTCGCTGGCAGCGTTTTTTTACAAAGGAAATTAAATATAATTTTAAAAATTTACTAAACGAGTTAATATATCACAGAATTTATGGGAGATATCGACTAAATAATGATAAATATCTGGATTTGTACTAACATGATACCATTGTCCTTAACAGATAAACTGTAAGTGACAACAACAAGGGGATTGTGAATAATGAAGGTAGTACTGAGCAAATGAATGTCATGTATCCCAGTCAGTCGTTAATGAGCATAATTCTTATTTACTTGCACGTGAGCATAAAACAGTGGTAGTAACTACCTGCTGTTTTCTTAGACTTAAAATTTAAAAGCACTGATAAATCCGAAATGAAAGCTTATCATTGAAGTATATGGTTAATTTCAGTTGGTAAGTACTGTAATCTTCCATTCCTGTTTTTCTATGAAATTTCAAATATCCCATTGTCCCTTCTGCACTGCTTTCCATGTACTAGGTAGTGTCTTGATAATAAAAGGAAGAATCTCTGCTTTACCGCTTTATTCTTGTTGAAACTTATTACAGCTGCACAGGCCTACTAGTCTATAACCTTTACCTACTTTTCCATAAATATCGTCTTTACGTTAGTCTTGACTTTTTCAGAAGGATTATCCATCAACTCGCGAACGGCAACACATGATATTAGCTGACCCATTTTGTCGAAGTACATGTTGACTAATTTACAGTAGAAACTAGTATCAATTCGTATGTATTGCTTCTTACTAATTCAGTTCTGTGAGGCATTCCTAAGATTGGGTATTAACGCAAAAACGTTGTCTCAAAGGATTTAAAACATTTCTTTTTTCGATTTTCAGTCTGTTTTGTTAACAGAAGAAAATACCAAACGCTTTTCTTTTCGGAATTGGAAGCAAATTTTCCACTAAATTTGAGAAATTAAAGCTTAGTAGAGCAACTAATATAAAAACGATTTTAAGACTTCAGGATAGAATTTGCCGGCTAATAACTATTTTTGGTTTAAAAAATTTTTTTAAGTTTAAAAAAGAAGTAATATATATGTCATTGTTCTTTATCCTCAAAAATTTTTTTGCTTTAGCGGTAGTATATGATGGATAAGACGACGTATTTTGCTCAAAAGAATAAGCCGCTGGAACAGTCAGCTTTTCTTTTGCTTGATCCCCATGAAGGCTTTTAATGTGTGCCTATTCCAAATTTCCATGGAGAGATTTCACAAACCTATACTCATTGGCTTTTCTAAATTCCTTTTCTTAATAATACTAGAGCAACTTCAATATGATGCGTTTCCTCTGACTTTCAGATGAAGAAAAATAAAAAAAATTATTATAAATCTGAGCTAAAAGTGATATTTGTTGCTTCAATCAGTATATATCCCAAGATTTTTAAACCCTCTTTATTGTTTATGGGGATCATTTCAATGAAATTTCTAAAAAATGAAATTCAAGTCGGTTTTGTTTTTTCGCCTTTACTAATCAAACAGATTTTTGCATTTCGCTAGACCTATAATCAACTTAAAGGCTTTGGACTTCTATGATCAGAATCAATGCTTAGATTACTAACTGGATTTTTATGTGGTTACTAATGTTGAAACCTTGGTAATTGTAATCAGAACAACAATTTTTTTCTATTTTCAATTTTAGCATTCCAAAATCTTTGGATGGATATACAAATACAAACTGCAGTTTCAGTTGTAATGTAGCATTTTCAGACATGCGGAATAATCACTGATATTAACAGTAATATCGTTCGTGTTTTTAGGAGCCGAGTCTTTTTCCATCCTCCTCTTTACCACTGTTCATACTTACTATGAGATGTCATCAGATTAAATAGCATACTATCGTGAAACAATTGTCTCGCAGTGCTGACAAGCCGGCGATGTGATATCAGATATCTACATACCTTTACATTCCTATCTTGACACATTTCACGTCTTATTCCGCTTGGTGAATTCCTCATCTATCATCTCATGAAATCCATAAACCTTGTCGATTCCAACCTTCCATTACGTGTCTTTTCCTTTAATTGAAATCCCGTAGGATCAACCACCATACCACCATTAGGCTTAGCACTAACCTTAATTTATCTATTTAGAACCACATTTCCTTAAGCTTAACGTAATGTTTACATTTTGGCATTCCTCAATGCTTTTCGAAATTATTGAATGCTTCCTCAGCACTTCTTTGCGCTTAAGTTCAGCTGAACTTTCTAGCTGTAAGAGATTTTCTTAGATTTATTTGAGGTTTCTGAAGCCTTGCTGTTTTTATCATGTAGTGTTGCGGTAGAACCAGAATATAAATGATTTCTTTAAAAAATTAACTTTTTAGCAAAATTACCTTGTTCAGACATCAGTATTCTTAATAAATCCAAGATGAACAAGCAACACAAAAAAATTATGCCTTCCAGACTTTTTCGCCATTGCTTCTCTCTGCATCATTTCAGTTGTAACAATGAATTTGAATATTAATAAGTAATTTCACGCCTCCATCCACAACTTCTTGCTAATAGCTATGACTTCCTACATTTGAATGTCTGAAATTTATTAAAAACAAGATCAATTTTAATTCGTGTTTTTGATGAGGTGTTTAATTCCATTAAAATAAATTCACATATGCGATTTTCCTGAATATGACTATATGCAGGAAAAGAGATTAAGCAATTTCAAATGGTAAAACAGAACGCTTATTTTACTTGAAGGACAGTAATTATGACATGTTTTATAATCCAAACATTTTCTGTGACGATTATTGAAGTGGCCTTTCATATATAGCCTTCGAAATGTTACAATGCTTTTGCAGAATATTGAATATTTATCTAGTAGATTAAGGACAAAAACGAGACTTGATATTGTTTCATATATGATGCCAAATAATTATGGTAGTGAACTGCTTACTCATTTTAAAATTGGTGCTATGCGGTTTACTTTCAACTAAACAAACAAATTAAAAACCTTTTCACATGACAAGACGTTCAGCTTGACTTTAAATACATTTGCTGCTGTAACCATGTCACTATGCAAGATTGGATAGAAAGACATTTCTTTTCCAATTGTTTTCAATCGTCTGGTGCCAGATGTTTTGGTAACCTTGTAAGAAAACAATTTTTGTGACTAGTTCTAATAGTTGAGTCTCACTCAGAAGTATGCTGTGTGTGATGTGAATTGACGTTGAAAAGAAGTGCTGCGAAACGTTATCCAAACATTACAATATTTTAAAACGCCCAAATCACTAACAGACCAGCCCATTCCATTGATTGAATCACTGACACATCCATACCCATTTTAAATAACTTTGGTCTCTCTCCTGCTTGGTTTATCTTCGCTTTTCCCATGAATTTTTTTATTCATGTCGGCGATCTTTGCCCAAAAAGTTCTTTGTATGAAACATCTGTACACTGCTGATCATCTATCATTACTTACGTTTCCCATTTCATGCATTAAAAATGAGTTAATTACAAAGTCTTAAAGATAGCGAGACGAAATAATACAACTGTTAGTAAACTTCTTGACTTGTGATAAAACTTCAGAAGCAGGTAGAGAAATAGAAGGTAAAGCTTTTTCGGTAATGTTACAAATTTATGAGAAAATCTAAATCTCAAATCGTTCACGCGCCTTGAAAAGTGATGTCTGGAACACACAGGAGCATATACTAGCCTGATCGATCGTATTTATCTATCTCAAAATTTCTGAAATTCTTGCAAAAATGTATATATCTCCATTTAATTTAAACTGAACAATTTCTATAGCAGAAAGTTGCAGTTATTATATATATAACATCATTTGCCTTTAAAAGAAATGATCTTGTTTTTTTCAAAACTGAGCCAGTGGACTTTCTTGTACTTGTTCAAATTTACCCCCTTCTTGGGATAGGTATGGGAATTGGAGAGCTAATCTACATTATTTTGAATCTACATTTTAGTGCACAAGCAGAGACAGAAATTTGTGGATTATGATTTCATTTTTTTTTATTTCGCAAGAAAAGATTTTTCTTTTATCAAAAAATGGCGATAATAGGGAGAATAAAATTTCTTTATGAAGACTTGAAGTTTTGATAAGTAGTTCAATTGTTTTACAGCACAAAACACTTCACTTATAGATGATACAGTGTTTTCTTGCTGGAACGATACAAAGGCTATCGTCCACTACCAAACAACCCAACAACCTATAAAACACTCGCTATGTACGTAGGCACGAATATGGGAATGTTGTTGATATTGGCATCGAGTTAGTGTTAGTGTTGGTTTCTGCTCGTATTTGATTAGTTGGGAAAATTTTAGCAGTGTTGTGATAGCTGTGATCACCACTTTGTCATACCAAGTACATTTAGTCTTTTTTCCGATTCTTGAATTTAGTTCTCGCATGCATTTCTTTTAATTCTTTTAGGTAATTATTTGGGAAGTTCTTGAATAGTAACAAATTATGTTAATGAAAGCTGAAATGTTTAGATAGTAACGAAAGGTGGTGCCCCCTTCCCTTCAAATCGGTGCGAATATGCTCAGTTCTGCAGAAACCTGATATATTTCTGAGTCTAAGCGCTGTTGTTTTTAATTTGCTTAAACTAGTTTGCTTAAAAAAATTTTTTTCTTTTTGCTTAAAGCAAGAAAAAATTTGCTTAAACTACTATTAAGTTAGTGATAAGCGTTTTTAAAGGAAATTTTAATTACTTAAATGACGTAAGGGGCTATACGGGATTACTTTTTATTCATCTTCCTGAAATACTTAGATATTTCGACTTCAGTTAATTATTTTGGTAATACGTTTTGAAAGTTTACTAAGAAATTTAATTTTCTTGAATTATCAAAACTACTAGTTACGATGCTGAATTTGGAAGATATCTTTTATAAGTCGTTGATCATTTTAAATCACTTATGGATGTGATTTGTCATGTTTGTGCACTTCAGTCGATCTGATGCATGCAGACTGCAGGTTATTTTCAAACAACACTTTTAACAGGATCCTCGTTACAATGTCATGATTCCTTTTCTCTTAATATTTTTCAGCTGTTTCAGTTGATCCTCTAGTGCACATTTCATTCATCCATGAATAGAATTTAAGTTCTCGATTTCTTCATGCAAAATCTGGAAAAAAATGAACTTGGAACTCATATAATGTATATAGGCATGGTCATCTAGGTTTGTATACACATTCTTTATCCATCAATAACAATTTAGTATTTTTTTTTTTGCGTTTTAAAACCATAACATTTCGTGTTTCAGGCTATTGTGCGTAACACATGTTTCCAGAGAATGTATTTCATCTTAAAATTAACATTAAGGAAAAGGAATCGATGTAACTGAAAGATAAACTGAAAGAACTCGCTTTAGTTGATGAGCTCTTCATGAATGCATATTACCTGGGCGTATCTAATAACCTTAATAATTTTAATCAGTGATCTATTCATTCATTTTACTGTTGATGTGGTTTATGCTGATTATAAAAACAGTTCCTTTACTGATAGTGGCACATTCTTAATCGGTACTAATAAATCGAATCAGATAGCAAGGATACATTACGCAAATAGCAACGCAGTGTATGGTATTACAGTATACGAAAAACTTCTTGCAACTGCTTTGGATAATATCATTGTTGTATATAATATTTCATCCTCTGTAAGGATCGAGAGCGTACATAGTTTGCAGCTACCCAGGTCAATCCGAAAGAAGTTACTGGAATTTAAATTTATTGGTCATGAAATGTTACTTTATTGCGACTCTTCAACATGCAGGTTCATCTACTTTTAACATAAAATATATTCGAAATACTATTTCATCTTTTTCAATTCTTTGCCACTTCTGCTCCATGAAATCTGAAATTTGAACAGCCAACATAAATTATTCGGATTGACTGAATTCAAGTAATTCAGAAAAGCATTATGTAACCGTATTTTAGATTATGCTTACTGACTTCTCCGGAGAAATCATGTATGGAATATCTGCTGGCACTGAATGGAAACAAAGTTGAAGAATTGATTTATGCAACAGCAGTGAAGGATTCTAACGAGAATGTTAACATACGAGTCGTAACTAAGAATGCTAACCAAGCTGCCATCTTGAGATTCCCGCCATATTATGCTGTTAGCAAGTAAATCGATTTTTATCAGAGTTCATAATGTAATGGGATGTTGTGCAAATCTACAAAACTGAAATATGGAACTTTCTGAAGAAGATTGAAGGATCTCTACTTCATAATTTTGTATTTAACAATGATTTTCTTATGCAGGGCTGACAAATTAACATCCGTACAATCAGCGGAAGACATACGAATCATTGATAGGCATAGTTTAGCAACTGCATTCAACAGACATGGTTACACTTTCTTTGTGGGATCAGCACGACGACCTTATGAACCATACATCAATGCCAGAATGGAAGAAATGATTGTGATGTCAGTTCGAATAACTCGAATGTGTGATAAAGATCGTACAGAAAAGCTGGAATCCCGCATTGATATGGCACTTGCTTGTGGAAATTTCAGTAAATTTATTATTTGCCACCTAAATGAGTAGTTCATCTTGAGGTTCCTTAATGATGATTAATCATGATTATTAAAATTATTTTTTTTTTTTCTAACTCCTTTTCACAAGAAAATTGTCAATTTTGTAGCGAAAACTCTACTTTCACAGTTCTCTTCTTGTAATGTTTAAAATCCTGCCGTGATTATTTGATTTAATTGAAATTTAATTGAAAGGGTTGGGTTTTTTCTTATTGATCTTTTCTGACTTCAGTGTTTTTTAAAGTTTGCGTTTTCAGCTTTGGTGTTTTAGGTTTATGGACGAATGCTGTTTCGTTAGCAGCTGAATACGATTCTAATAGTGATGAGTTGGTTGTTGTGTTCCAGAATTCTCAAAAAATTGGAAACACCGCGTGTAAATATAGAATGGATCTTGTTAATAATGCGTTCAATCAAATATGGATTAACTGTCAGAACATTTCTTATAAGTCATCACTTGAAGAAAGTTCATTTTGCTTATTTCTGAAATATAATTTAGCTTCACTTTCGTTTCTTTGGTAGTACAAAGAAATTCTTTGGTTTTTTTCTTTCTTTGTATTTTTCATGAGCTATTTTCCTGATTTTTTGATCAAGTTGTTGTTCATGTCCGAAACTTTTCACATTTCTGTTGAAAGCTATACTACTGCACACTGATTCATTTAGTTTAGATTTTAAGAATTCGCTGAAATTGTCGACGCAAGACGAAATTTTAGGTATTTCTTTAAATGATATTTGAACTGTTGTGATCAAAATTTCAGGAATGTCAAAAAGTTCAAAACTCTGAAGAATTGCCTCCACATTGTTTTATATTTTCTCGGCGTGCTGACGGACATACCATGCGAACTTGTTCGAGATTTGGCGGTGTGAGTCTGTTCATTTTTATTATTTTGTAACTTTAATTCTCTTTTACGATTGGAAAAAAAAAAGTAGAATTTCTCTGAATATGATATGAACAGTTATGCTGAGCACTGATCATATACATCTTAATATTTATATTACAGAACTATATAAAGGAACCGTTAGATAATTGTGATTTGGAATTGTTCCCGTCATTTGCATATCGTTATGGATGGTTAGAACAGTTCCATGCGTTTTCAGGACAACTTATAGCTGTGTAAGCTATCATAGAAAACTTTTTTTTCTCGCCATGGTTTCTGTTTTGAATCCATATGAAATTCAAGAAGAGCTAAGTTGACATAAATTAAGAAATTGATTTAATAATGCAGAAAATACTCGTTCTTGCGTAATTCCCATATTACTCACCGTAAATGAAATAAATAGCAAATAAGTCCAAATCTTTGTCTCATTGTAACTTATTGTATGAAGTTACTTGTGAAGTAAATATGTAAATATTTTATAGCATAATCTAATGAAAGCTCTGAACATTTCTCAAAAGAGCGATTAACGTTAAATAAATCTAGTTTTTCGATTTTTGTTCAAAATACCTAAAAAGAAAAACAAATAATATCCAATTTTTGTGCTTGACGAAAGTGATCTGAAAAAAATTATCTTAAATAATGGAAATTAATAGATAACCTTATTTTCAAAGTTCATATTGCTTAAACGCTTGAACTATGATATCTCCTTACATTAATCTTTTTTATATCTTACGCCTTGTCCACCATATGCTATAGTAAAGATTCGTATGTGTTATAGTTTACCTAGTTCGGGCGAGGATATCTTGTCAGTGAAACGTTTTCATAAAGATGGCGCGTTATTCACTGTTCATTCTAATGGTATTTTAAATCGGGTAATTTAATTTATTTTTAAACGCTCTACTGTTGTTCATAAGCTATACTTTTTTTTTCTTTTTAAGAGAAATGGAAAGCTTTGAGATTTTTTCTGCATTCTCTGCAAGCTCAGGTATCCTACCAAACAGTTCAAGTGGCATCGTCACTTCTGTGGTCACTTCAACTGCAACAATCTCAGTTCACTGAACAACCTCGTGCTCTTAAATATCACATCGCTGCGGATCTGTCACGTGATCGGATTTATTTCGTTCAGGATAATGAAGTTCGTGACTTTTTTTAGATTTGATATTCTAGTTTAAAAAAGATTTTTTGAAATTGTATATTTCTTCAAATTTGACTTTTAAATCTCAAAAAGCCCACATGGAAACTTTAAAATAAATTCGTTCTACCGCTTTGAGAATCGTTTTCCTTCCCATTTTTAGTTAAGCTATGCAGAGCTGGTATGTTCCTATTTTTATGACAGCTGTGACTCGCTGGAACGGTCAAATTGGTCTGATCCGCTTCAGTGCCTTTGGTGTGCTATGAAAAATGGTTCCGGCTATGCATTTTCGCGATCAGAAGGCAATAGTTGTCCATTCTACACCGTTGACAATCTTTGTGTTCCATTCATTGAACATGTAAGTTATCATTGTTCTAATACAATCAAACTATAGCGTATTGAAGCACAATGTAAAATTGTTAGATTTGAATAAGTTAGGTCTGTTATAGTAATTGGCCTTCCTGTTTGTTTGTGCCTTGTTTTTCTCCAATTTTTATAGACTAATCAAAAAGGAGAGGTTACAGAAGATGTTTTATAAGGTGTAAAATTAAGACATGTTGGTTTACCAGTAAAATTCATATAATAGAACGAATCTGCCTCTTCACAGTATAAAAATATTTGAGGTAAATATTCCATCGTCAAATTTCTCTAACTACACCTGGCTTGAAGTATATGGTAGGAAATTTGATAGACTACAAGATATTATTGCCAAAGTATGCGATCAAAGCTGCAGTATTTCAAATTTCGGATCAATAAAGTTAGTTATATAAATAGAAAATCAAACTAACAAAAAATTGTTCTGCCGCGTATTCTTAAAAGATTTGATTATTTCAGTGGAAATTCTATTAGTGGAATTTCAGCATGTTGATAAGTTTTTAGGCTATCTTGTGTTGTGAACATATCAATTGATGCTATGGAAGATTGCATTTTTTGTCTCGAAGGGAAATTGAAATCATTTGGCCGATTTAGCATCAATTTTAATTTGCCGAAAAAGCGCAGTTCTCACATTACAAACATTATTTTGGCAAGCACACATTCACATTCGAAGTAGTTTTTGAACTGGACTTCAAATTCTCATTAGTCCTTGCTACGTAGAACTGAATATCTAAAGATTTTTAAAACTTTAAGCTCATTATTTAAAAAAAAAAACTCCTGTTACTTGTTTCAAGTTCATTATATCCGCATTTCCTATATAAAAGGATGATAGTATTAGGGGCAGAATATTGTTGACTGTAGTCAACACTTTCCTACTAAAATTGAAAATTGGCTTGTGTAAGCTGACTATTCATATTGATTTTAAGGCATATCAGAGCAGTTGCAACAATATTTGCAGTGACTGTACTCACATTCCTCATCGTATTTATTTTGTGCCTTCTTCGTCGGTTCCATAAAGTTAGCCTTGAACTATTGTAAGAAATGATATTACCCTATGATGACATATCCGGAAATGTATTTAGAATGTGTTCATACCCGGTTGATTTTCTTCTTACAGCGTCAACCAAACCGAATGAAACAATGTCGCACAAATGGCTCACATACAGCACTTGATACAAGTTATGCTACATTCGGTTAGTCCATTTTATATTCTAAAGTGATTTCTTATTATTTATTATCTGTTTTGATTTCTGTTTGTTTATACATTATATTTTCCACATTTAAGGACATGTTTCTTTTTTAAATAGTTCTTTTTAGTGACCAATGACCTTAAAAGGAAAGCTGACGAATTAAAAACATTTAATCCGTATGAAAATCTTTTTATGGAAATCGATTCGAAATTGCAAATACCTCTGAAGGATCTGGAATTTTGTGGCGAAATTGGAAAAGGTAAGTTTTACCTAATGTTCTTTCATTAAGAACTACCGTATATCGCCAACTTCAACGAGTGTATTGTAGGAAATTTCGGTGTTGTCTATCGGGCGTTATATCGAAGCGCCGATGGTCAACTAGTAAATGTAGCATGTAAAACAATCGATTCACAAAGTAATGGTGTCATAATGGGCATTAGCGAATTTTTACAAGAAGGCTTGATTATGGCTAATTTTGATCATCCAAATGTTGCTCGACTTATTGGCATTTCCTCAACTAACAACAATTACCCTATCATTGTTACTGATTTCATGGCTCGAGGAGATTTACGACATTATATTATTAATCCAGAAAACGTACTTTCTCTTTTATTTTCCCTTACGGTTCAACAAAGTTTGAAATTCTTGTGAAACACTAATTATTTTTTCTAATCATAATTCAGTGGAAGGTACTTTTGTTCCCATACAGTTCTCTTCTTTGTTTTAATGCTTTGTTTTACAGAGACTTACATTTGGTAGTCTCCTTGATTTTGGCATTCAAATTGCAAAGGGAATGACTTATTTGCATGACAAACAGTTTATTCATCGAGATCTTGCTGCACGAAATTGCATGTTCGTTAAAAAAATTTTCTGCACTTCTTGAAATCTGTAGATATTTATCAAATGGTCCATGTCTTGACATCGTTCAGTCTATCATAGCTTGAAAAATACAGCCGAACTTTTGGTTCATCCTGCATACATTAAAGGTTAGATGCGTACCTTGTTGTTAAAATTGCCGATTTTGGTTTGAGTCGGGATGTATCACGATGTGGAATGTATCAGGCTATACACAAAGACCGCGGAATCCCAATTCGATGGATGCCTATTGAATCGCTTGAAGAACAACAGGTTTTCCTATTTGTTCACGTCAGAAAACTTTTTGAGAATGTAAGCTAACTATAGGAAGTTTAGAATTTGATAGTTCTCTATCGTCAAAATAACCAAGCATACTCAGGTTTTATGAAGAACGAAAAGCAAAGAACTGACCTAGTTAATGTTGATGAGCTACACCATTTAACAGATGAACTGCTAACACTGAAAGTTATTCCGGGCTCATCTACAAGCTTATTCCTTAGCCTACATTAAATGATATGTGCTTACGCATCGTTAATACTCCCTACTTTCGGTTCATTTCGCAGTTATTGAAGACTAGACGCGTAGCAAGTTTTTTAAATTGTCGATTTTGGTTTTAGTCAAGATACATTTCGGTGTTCGTCTGGTATAATGTTTAACGAATCTCAATTAATATTAATTCTAAGAGAAATTAAAATTTTATTAGCAATCCAAACAAATTGTTTTTTATAAATAAAAGAAATGTTGTTTTGTACAGAAATAATTTTGAATGGTCGGTGGAATATATTGCAGTATACATTTAAAGCAGATGTATGGGCATATGGAATTGTGCTATGGGAATTAGCTACGCGCGGTTTAATTCCTTATGCAGATCTTGAATTTATCGATATCCTTCGTTTACTAAAGAGTGGACATCGTTTGATGAAACCGAAAGGATGCCCTGATAACCTGTATTTTTTAGTTACCATTTTCGAATCAGTTTTTGTTAGCTATTTCACAACTTTCATTTCAACAGCTCTGAGCTCTGATAATAATCCATTTTAAATGACTTAACTGTTGAAACTACGTAAGCATTATTACTATGTATTAATATAAATCATTATTATGTCTTTCTGAGTATTAAAAAACAGCGTAAACAGAAGTTTGGAAGCTTGCTTTGGTGTAAAATCAGTTTTCAAAAACTTGAACTATTCGGGAAAATGCGTGTTGCAGATATCATTACGTTATGAGGCGATGTTGGTTGGAAGATCCGAAACGTCGGCCAACATTCCTCGAATTAACAGAAATGATGGAAGGTGTTGTACGACAGTTACGACGTGGTGTGTCAGGTGGTGCACTTTTGGATGGTCATTATGAACGTGTTTCCGCACGTTCATTCACTGTGCCACTCACTACCACCACCAATTCAAGTGATAGTACCGTTATTACTAATACATGACTTCATTTAAATCAGATCAAATATTCTGATAAAATATTACATCGCTTTTCACAATGAATTTTTCTAATCGGATAGGCATCGAGCAGAAACATTTTTCAATTGAAGTAATAAACTTCACAAACATTGAATAGCATCGACAAAGCCCACTGTCAGTGGCCAACTATGCTTCACTTTTTACCTCAATCGTAAATTATAGTATCGCTGACGTCTGTTCCTTTATAACTTTATAGCGCTCCTGAGTTACCTTCCTATAGTAATTATTCAAACTACTCGTTAGCCCACTTCCTGTTACTTTTTACAGGCCAAGCTCAACAAATATACAACATGTGCATAATTCTTTGCAAGATGTAGTTATGTTTGCCTTCAGCGGGCGATACAAAAATATGAAGACAAAGAGAGCAAGAAGAGCTTTACAGACATCTCCAAACTCCGAGAAAAAAATCTCCACATTCCTAAATCATGTTTTGAAATTCCACTGAACTTCCATGGTAAATTTGAAAATCAATGGTTACAGCGTGCAGCTTTGAGTGAATCTACTCACGTCTTTTATTCACAGAACAATTCGCGTATGAGCATACTGTATTTAGAAGTTAATCACACACTATTCAGAAATTAATAAGATTCAGTAGGCCAGTGAATCCATCACTTACAAAAATGATGTCAGGCGTCATCGCAATCACTTCCTCGGTTTACCTCCTCTACTTTTATTCTATTGCAGCATAATTCAAGACTCAGCATGGAATTACAATAAGAGGTATATGTTATCTTCAAGTTTTTTACAAAAAATGAACAAATATGTAGCAAAATATTAAGTAGCAATTTCACTGAATTCACTTTTAACTTCCTTGCGGAACTTCTTAACAACAGGTTCTTCCGATGTTTCATGCACTCGTACAGTGGAAGACGAGGCTTGAGCATTCTGCAAATATCTGCTCGTTACAATAACAACCGTGATTTCCTGAATATTGCTGTAAACCAGAAACGGAAACTTTCATTATGTATAATTTCCAAAAATTTTTGAAACGAAAAAGATAAGCGTATACAAGAAAAGTATCACGATGTAGTTCAAATGTTATCAATAATCGATAAGAAATTTAAAGATCAATTACAGCTTTTAAATACTGTGCAATTCCAGTATTCTGGTTGACTGAAGTAGACAACATAAGTCGGATATACAAATATTTACCTGCTCTTTTTGCATTAGTCCTGCATGGCGATTTTCCGAATATCTATTCACATATAACCACACTTGACTTTTCATACACGGAAGATACTCTTTTACAGCCCTACTATATATCTGATAAACTGAACGTCCCGCCTTTGCAACTTCATCACCTGGCTGAAAGTGTGAACAGTTTACTTCAGTCGAAGTAAACCATACACGATTTCATAACAACAAAAATCAAGTGAATTTCCCTATGTTTGAGTTCCTATTAGAACGGAATAATTTATGAAGACAGCATTTAGGACTTCCATGTTCATATACGCAATGAATTTCTTACGGGTTATCCTTTTTCTCAAGACTGTAGAAATTAAATAAGAACGTAGATACTTTCTACAAAGCAAATCTTTAGTTTAACATAATCTACTGTGCATCGGAAATCTGATAAACAAATTCATACGGACGGAAAATTTTGTACAGTGGACTCAGCCTAATGCGGTGGCAGTGACATACCGAGCTCCTCTACATTTCCAAATACCTCATAAGATTAAGAATGAAGGCACTGAAAAACATTTACTGCATTAAAGGTAGAGCAATTCTCGAAAACTAAGTTCATGCATTGGATAAACTGTGCAACGTTCGTGAATGCATCCTTTGCTTTTTCTCTCAAGCGTCGTGCAATGGTTGAAAAATCCATGGGCTGTTTGATGATCACATGATAACTAATGACGGTTCGTGGTACAGGCTGACAAAATGGTTCCACATCCAAATGTTTTTCATAGCAACTTAGCAAAACCTTAGAGCAGAGCTAAAATTAATATTTATTACTATCTCAAATCCCTAAATCTGAGAAAATAAAACTGTCACCGACTTGTCACTGGATTAAAAGAGATATAAACATATCATTCACAGTCGACCAAATTTTAAACATTTACCAGTCTCTCGCGTTGTCCAATTGTAACCGAATTTTCGTGCAGTGGTTCTGCCTCAATACATAATGAACATGCCCACTCATCTCTAAAACTGTTCAGCTTATTTCGGCAAATAAACATAAACTGCACCAATTACGATTACGAAAAAAAAAATCGAAGCACAATGACTGATCTGTCCATTATGTCAAACGTCTACTCAACACACCTGAGCTCCATGTTTTAATTGCAGTCACTTTGCAGAATTTACTATTAATGTACACAAAAAACCAGGAAAAAAATTTCCAGTACTCTGAAATATTACATAATTACTGAAACAAAATACCAGACATCATACGAAAAATATCAGAGAGTTTCCAGAAAAACATACGGTAAATTCTCCATCTGCTCTTTTATAGCTGGAATATGACAAATATTATGAAAAACTCGTGGACAACGTGCACAGCAACCAAGAGAACCAGTTTTTTCATCACAGCCTTGCTGGCATACATAGCAGTAGTCATCCCATCTTGACTCATCATTATCTGCCAAATCTGTTTAAATGATTTTTTTTTTTTCTCCATTTATTACAGAAAATCCATTTCAGGTACAAATTAATGTAGAACAAGTACTGATTATCAGCTAAACATCTAATGAATCCAAATCCTTAGAGTCACTGGTCCTCATGAACGTGACAAGAAAAAAGTATTAGTAACAGTATGTTTTGAAAGGGCAGCATGTTACAGCAGACAGATGTAGTATCAAACTGAACTTCACTAACAGAAACTACAAAATAAACCTTGAAACTGCTGCTCATTTCCAGTTCTCATTTGTTTTGAATTCGACATTTTGATCTGATCCAACTGAGTTTTTGATATATTTGACGTTTTTGCAATCTCATCATTATTTTTTTTAATGCTAACTGTTATTTTCAGTGGAGCTGGTTCGGGGTCTTTTGGTGGTGGTGAGCTAATACTGCAATTACAGATGAAATCTCAAGAAATTTCACTAGAATACTCAAAAATGGTAGGACTGCATAACATATGCCAAACATCGCTAAAAAAAAAAAAAACACAACAATAGCCTACCATGTACTCACTGATGCTTCAGAACTGATAGGTGCACATTTTTGTTGAGTCGCAAGTGTTACACCGAGATTTAAGACCGGCGAATTAAAGCATACACCAGATCTGTCATGTTGTGCAGATGTGCCATCATTTTGAGTGCACACAATAGAGTTGTTTAAACTGTTTGCACGTTGGATATCTGCCGTAACTACATTGGATGGTATGGTTTGCACAGCAGAAGAACAAGAGAAAGTAGGAACCGAATTTGAACTCGTAACTGGTAAAGGATTGGCCATATTAAGCCGACTAGTCTGCATCCTATAAAAGATATTGTAATTAGTTCCGCCAAAAATCTATATAAATTTTGTAACCAATGACTCAAGAACCAGGAATGAATATAATATTCATTGATCTGGAACTTTCATAATTCTTATTTCGAGAAAAAAATGTTATCATTTAAATTAGAACCAATAAATGAGGAAGTAATCTGTTAAAAGCTGAAGTAGAAATACAAAGATAAGCCTTAGGTTTCCTATAATCTAAAAAAAAATGATTTCATATTATAGATGAACAATACAATGATTCTCCAGATCGCCTGAGAAGCGAACTTGCATGAGTCCCTGGAGCGAAAGGAGTTCCAGATAAGCTGCTTTCTGCTTGTGAGTTCGTTAATTGAATATTCGAGACTCGGTGAATATCTGCAAAGCAATCAACTGTCCAAACATAACAATTTCATAAAATTTAACACATGTAAAATACATGTAAAACAAAACCATCGCTTTGTCGTGATTGAAATTGATTTATATGGCGAAAAAGCTTTTTAAAAATCAACTGTTTTATTAGCAGATATATAAACCACAGAACAGGGAAGCAGTCAACCACAAACGCGTTTAAGTGCAACAAAAGTGTAAAGTTCAGCCGAACTGTGTACAGCATTCTTTAATTTTTGTCGAATTTTAAGCATAAACTATTTAAAAGCATGCAATAATGGCATTTCTAAAATGCTTATTTTTTTTTTTTTTTTTTGTAAAAAAAACCCACCGTTATATCCTTCGATCAAATTTGATGGTTGCTGAGTTGGCATGGAACCTGGCAAAAACATTCGCTGAGAAGCATATGGGAGGATCTGTCCAGCAGGAATATATGGAGAGATACATGGTCGTTCGGTCATATTCAGTCCAGCTATAAATCGAATTTCGACTGCAGTGAGCCATAAAATAGCAAAGCATAAAATAAATAATCACTGATAAAACCCCAATTCAGAAATATGGCACCTTACAAGGCAGGACTCTAGTCCATCAATTTTTTTCAAAACAGCATGTAGATTCCTTATAATTATCACATCTTAGAACAGTTAACCCATATTTCGCAAACTGATGACATTGTCTTACATGCTGTGCTTAGAGTATATGAAAAAAAAAAAAAAAAAAAGAAATTAACTTACAAACATATGGATGTGAATAACGTGGTCCTGGCAACTGAACAGATCTTGGACGTTGAGTGTTATCAGTCAGCAAAGAACCGAGAAACTGAGACTGCGGAATTCCTTGTCTTCGAGCATTTTGCATTTGTCTTGCTGCTAACTACAAATAAAAGTTGTGAGTGCATCTGCAATTTATTACTGTAATAAATTACAGATGCACTCACAACTACTGTTCATTAAAAACTTACAGTAAGTATAAAATGCAAACCCAACATTAGTGGTATTTAAAACTTCTTATAGTCTTGTATTTTCTGAATGTTGAAAATTGCTTCTATATAGAGAACAAAAACCAACTTCTTGGACATGAAATTGCTGCTGCTGTAAAAGCCGGGAATGCTCTTGTGCCACTGGTGGTCGTAAGGTAATATATGAGGTATTTGGCCCAACTGATCCAGTAGAGCACGAGCGTTGTGTACAAATATTTGCTGATGAACAAGATCCTCTTGGTCTATTCATCGCGGTGTTGAACAATGGAACATCTATGGGATTTGAAGACAGTGGTGCTGGTGTAACTTCCACCTAAAGAATTCCCAAAGATAGTGCAAAAAGAAATATATAATCATAACTTCCTCACTCATGCTGAAAAAATATTCAAGGTAACAACTTCGGTCATTCTATCCCAAAGTTTTACTTTTTATAGAAAGGACGCTAAACACTACTGACAGTTTTTAATGTCCCCAAATCATCAACTTCAGCAAAAATTCGCCCCCATTGGCTGATATTTGCTAGCATATGTTCCGTATCGGGTTTAAATTGCACCGTCGCTGGACGCTGAAGGCCATTCAAACTTCTCTGAAACAACTTTGAGAATATGTAGAATAAATTCATCAGCAATCTATGTAAAATTTTTCTGAAAAATATAAAAGATGCTGAAAAACACCTTAAACACAACAAACCTCACTGCTAACTTTTTTTGCTTTAATAATTGTGATACAGTTCTCCAAAAACTGTCGCATGACCACAAGCGTACTGAGATCGTCAAAATCTTTGATGTGTAACGCATATGAGTTAATCTACAACCTAGATTTTTGAAAACATATCATTTCTTAAGTTTGTTGCGAACTCTAAACTTGCTGAGGACAGAACTGAGGTTTAGAATAATTCTCTAAACAGAAAAAAGAGAAATTCCAGTACAATTCATTAAAATAAATGACACTTACTCTACTAAATCGTCGCTTTTGCCAGAGTAGTTCATGACGAAGTTTGTCATACTCCTGTCCTTTATAAAACTGAACGGCATCCAATGCTCGCAACAGGTCATTCCCCCTCCTCATCACCTGCAAAAAAAAAAAATAAAATAAAAATTTGCATAGTAGTAGCAGTAATAATAGCAATAGTAATAATATAGTAATAATAACAATAACAATAATAATAAAATAATAATAAGTAATAGTGAATAACAGTAACAAATAACAAATAATAATTAATAATAATAGTGACAATAACGATAATAATGAAAATAATAATAACAATAATAATAATAACTACAATGATACTTCTGAGCATTTATATCGGAAGGGTAATTTATTTTGAAATTTTACTTAAATGTCTACTAGTATTCATCCCTATCTCTGCCTCAAATGTAAACCCTAAATCGATTAAATCGATTTTTAAATGAACGACTTTTCAACATGAACTGCCAATACTCTGAAAACAGACGATGAAAATTTACTTGGAGCGTACAATAATAAGCGACAGTCTTTATTCTTCGCAGAAGGAAGAAATTTTATGAATGCAAAACTGAAGTAAAAGAAAATATGGTTAACTCTACAACCAGAATTGACTTTATATAATGTTCGTTTAAAGCAAAAATTACCGCTTGACAAATATGTACAACTTGATTTCCAACTTCCTTCTTTAAACTAGCAACACGTTCACTTAAAGCATTCTTACGCACTTGTATCATTGATAAACTGAAAACTTGCTTGCATTATTAAAATATTGGTTTTTGAAGCGCTCAATATATGACTTCTAGCCACATCAACCTTGGTCTATATTTACAGATTAAGAAGGAGATACTAAAAACAAAACATAACAACTGTTAAAACCATAAAAATTGACAAGTAGACGAATTCCAGGAAGTCCATTAACTGTAATATTTAAAAAGCAAAATATTCATACCTGCAGTCGATGTGTGTTGTTTCTCGTGCTGTTGAAGACATAATTTTACTTTCATCGACTTGAGAGTTTGGTAGATGAGATAAGGGTGTTATCATATGTGAAGGACCCTCATGAAGTCTACTAGCAACACATGTCATACACACATACTGCAAAGTACAATCTTATGAGGACAGTAAATACGAAGAGAACAGATGAAAACTTATAAGCAGTAAAATAATTTCTCAAAAAACTGTAATACCACATAACTGCGGAAAAAGTAAAACCACCACACAGCAAGCACTTACCGATCCACACTGACATAACGATACAATTTTCATATTGCTGTGGAGAGGACAACGGACACACTTCGGAATCACGGGACATAACTGAAACTGGTAAACATAAAGACTTAAAAAGAACTTCAACATATCACCTTTGCCCAAAATAATTAAAAGTTGTGTTTTCAATTTAAAAAAATTTTTAAAAAAAAAGATCTTTTGAAAAAGGCATAAAAATTAATATTTAGACGCGTGTCCCGAAGTAAGAGCAGTGATTATTTAAGACTGCAGTTTCCTACAATGTACTGAATTTAAAAGAAATATTAACTAACAGTTTGTAAAAAATGAGAAGATGTTGCGGTGACCCGCTGATGTGCTAAACTGCAGTCAGCACATAAAGCCTCATTGCAAATAATACATTTTGTTGTGGCCTGATGCCTATCTGGACAAACTGCAGATTCACACCTTCTGAAATACAAAATCAAATAATCAACCAAAAGTTATTTGTGAACTTCAGTTTTTAGGAACTAATAAAAACTCGTTCATAAATTCATTCAACAAACAAATCAATACACAAAATAAATATATTGCCTTCGTCCAAAAATCAAGGGAACAAACCTTACGGTACATTCGCTTGTATTTGGAAGATTAAGTACATGAGATCGAAGACATTCCGTACGGCAAACTTCGCAGATCAGCGTCTGGTGATTCACTGATGCTGTAATGAAATGAACATTTTCCTTGGCTTTTTATGTTTTCAGAAAAGATTAAAAAGTGCAGTGAGCTGTACATAAAAAATCAGACCTTGTTCACATTTAGTTTTACAGGACGGACAAAATGCATGAAGACACGGGAGTAGCGCTGTCACAGGAGTTAAATCAGCAGGCGGTGAGAAACCACACAGTTTGGCTCGACACAAATCACACCGGTTAAAGTCTTCTCCCATCTGCAAAGCAGTTGATCAAATATATTCATGTAATTACAACAGACCTAAGCATATTTATACAGTGGACTAACAATGCTGAAATCACGTCAATAAGCCATTCTATAATGAAGAAGTACTGATTAATCATAGAACCAATCCAAAAAGTGCATAGTCTGGATGAGAGTGCGTAAACCATAACTGCAGGGACTAGATTCGACAAGAGACCGTTATAAGAAGAGTTTTATAGACATTGGTAGATGAAACTTCAAGATACATAAAAAGGTCAACACTAACCCACATCAACTTATCCCGTTATGATGATTATCTACATTCATCTACCCCCGTGTGTTAAAGGCAAATGCACATGTTTGCATACGTTGATGGACAGACAATGTGCATACGAATATTCCTTCAACGAACACAATATAAGAAGGGACGTCGTGCACAAGCACACCATACGGCTCTTAGACATGCATATCCCTCCTCTACTAATGGTGTGTTTCTATGCCTTTCTCTTCCAAAGGATGGCTGGGCAGATTCGATCGGCTTGCGAGCCAGCTCGAACCGGATCGTTCCGGTTTACCATGCGGGTCCTTTTCTGTCTGCGTACTGGGAAGACAAGAGCAATGATGGACAGCGTTGTATGTGGAAACTACTGACGAGAATCGATAATGGGCAGAGTACAAGCAATAAGAGACATAAAAAAGACAAAAAGGTTGTAACGAGATGTCGCATGACGATCTATGAGACGAACTGTGGAATGGATGAAGACCGATGTGGATAACGGAAATAGCCGAATAGAGGCAGGGGAAAAAATGTGAAGAATGGAAGTAGTGATTGAAGTGGTTAAGGTTATCTTCAATCTTTTGAAATGAAGAGATGATGGGCAACGTCTCTTACTCTGTTGATGCATTTGATGACATTGTCGCATTGTCTTATGTCTCCCAGTATTTCATTGAAATTGGCCAACGAAAGTATTGCATGTTGCGGTCGTGGCTGCTGTTCTGCATTACTACTTTTTTGAAATTGTAGTTATGTACACATCGCAGATAAATATTCTAATTAATATGAATATCACGTATCACTTGGAAAAAATACTTGGTTAGTTAAATAATGTGGCGAAGTAAGAAAGGTTTAGCATGCGTGACGAGTAACACTTTGGGATATAGTGTCAAGCAAGATGAAGGAAACAAGTGCTGCATTCAAATTGTACACGTTGGGTTAATAACTGGAATAGAGGTGGGAATACCAGATATGGTAGACATCGTTAATATGACTACTGCTGATATGTAATAATAAGTAAATAGGTTACAGAAAATATAAGATGATTTAAGTACCATTTTTTAAAAGTTCACTCATCGGTAATTAATTGGAACATAAGAACACAGGCTTTAAATTCTAATTATTCGCTCTTTTAAATGAAATTAGTTGCGTTTTCTGCGAGCTGATCTTTCATCTCTTGGAATTTAAAATAAGTTTCTATCAATTTAAGTCGAATACATTAAATCAAAAACACATATGAACATTCATGGTGATCAAGAAATTATTTTTAAAATCCCCATCGATCTTGAAATTTGCATTCTTTTAAATATTACTTCTAACAAAATTCAGACTGGAAAACGGTTGTGAATGCGAATTTAATCATTTAACATTTAGTCCTGCTATAGATGAGGACGACTGCTTATTAATAACTCTTCATCAGATACTTCAACTTATAGTTTTGAATAATTCTCAAATTTTTTCTTAAAAAGACATCCAGTTGCTTAGCCATTCCCAAAACTCCAAGACTGAATTTATACAACTGACTTTAACACTATCACAATTTCTAGCCATTTATTTGCAAATTATAATTCCGTACTTGACCCAATATTACTGAAATTGGAGTCTTTCACTTCATATTAAAATTTGAAGGATAAAAATTTGAAATCGACTTTACCGCAAGACTTTTATCATAGCAAATTTTTTAGCAAGTCTAACAAAATCACATTGTTCAGGTTTGTGCCTTTCTCGAAATTTTCAACAGGAATTTAGTTTGAGAAGTCACAATGGAATGAATGTTGCGCTGTAAATTCCAACTAGTTAATTTATAAACCAGTTAAGGTTCTAATCCAAAACTTTATTCTCGAACCAATATTATAAATACCATAACACCACAATTCTCCCGTCAAGATGTTCACAATCTTTTATTGATATAATTCTTCCTAATACTATCGTAAGCACAAAATATTCACTCTTGCTCTACTAAATCATTAATATGCAAGAAAAAATTTAACGTAACTTTCAGGCTTTCAGCGCGCATTCACATACAATCACTGTTGCCACGAACCGTTTTACTCCTGATACTAAACTTATCATGTCAATGAAAAAAAATTACCACTGACAACAAAGATACTTATCAGGAGCTTTTATGACTCAAAAATATCATAAGTATTAAGGTCAGAAAATAAAGAACAACTCAAGTTCCACGATGATATATTACAACACTCTCTTCATGAATAAATCAGGTTCTTCACAGGAAATTCAAAATGTGCAAATATTACGAAATGGAATAAGAAGCATAGCAACTAGTAGTGATACATTACAGGATGTAAAGTTATCATTTCGGGCGGACAATGCAGCCGTTATAATTTTAATGTTTTGGCAATTGCACTAGTCAATGTGGATGGCAAGTCAGAACCAATAATAATAACTGGAAATGAGAAAAAAAATGATCGTAACAAACGAAATTAATTTCTTGGAAATATGGTATTAATAATGCAATGACTATTAGTTACAAAAACTCTGAGTGGATGTAAATACAGTCCAGTCGTCATACATCCAGGCACATGCAGATGCACATACGGATACATTAGCATGCATATACAGCGATGATACAGTACACGTCCAAAAATTATTCCTGGAAGAATTTGTGGACGAAACAAATTATGGAAGTAATAATATTACTTTAAAGCATACTGCGAGTAATTTCAAAAAAAAAAAAAAAGTAAGAAACTGACATAAGAAAAAAAACCCAACACCAATCAAAATAAAATTGAAGAAAAAATATAAGTATAACAAAATTACTGACTTATCTTTTTAAATAAACCTGAACATTTGCAAGTTGAAATAAAATAGTGCTTAAAACAATAGACAGCAAATGAAGAAATAAAAATTTATCGTACTGAAAAAGCAGAAATAATTTCCCAAAAAAAAATAAGCATTTCAGAAGCCTGTGAAAGAAAAAAGTAGGTGAACCTGACCAATTTTTTGCTAGAACAAGAACAGCTAAGTAATTACCATTATTTTGAGCAACAAGTAAACTACATATTTTTTGATGAGAATACATATTCAACCTAGTGCAATGACTACAGCATGATTCAAGGAAATGTTACAAGGCTAATGTAATGGAAGCACTGCCAATGAATTATGGACCCGTATGTTCTTGGAACTTGCTTATATCTCCTGAAATTTTCTGGCTATGCATTAATGTATAATGATATCATCTCTACTCCTTGTACACAAATTTAGATTCATAAAAATTATTATATCATTTTACAGTACTTAGATTATGTAAGAAGTCTTACCAGTTTCGACGAATATCCACTCTACATTTCCATGTAGGAAGTCCCAAGAAAAGATGATATATTCTACAAAAGGCACAACTTCCACCTGTCATAATTAAAGAGCAAGAAAATAAATAAAATATAAAATTATTAAAATTAGTGATCTCAACACTTCGCAAACAATATAATAGAAAAAAAAAAGTAATACTTAATATCAGAAAAAAAAAAATTAATACGACATTTGTTCTTTCATATCTACCGCAGCAGTAGCACTTTCAGGGTATATTTGCAATGGTGCAGTCACCTGAGATGTAAACCATCCCTGACCCGTTTCGTAACGACGTCGTGAGGGAAGCTCGGCAAATAAACGCTCCGGATTGTCAATTGCCTGAATTGAACGAGCCTGGGCACGCATCTGGCTAAAGAGATCCTTTGGAGGGCGCTGAGGCAAAATCTAGAAAAATAGATCATAGTACACCATCCTACAAAAATTAGACACAGTATTATTTAGAATATCAAAACGTCACATAGTATTATTTAGAAATAACTGAGCATTGTATTATGGAACAATTTTTAGAAGAAAATTTCCTGAATTCGCTCTCAGTGCTAATTGTCTGATAAGGGTATATTAACAGTCAGCAAATACCAGAACTAAAATCCAGATTCAGTTAACATCAACTTAACAACAGTTTTTAACTTGAAGTTGAGTTAAAAATTTTTAATAATGGAACAATTCAATAAAAAACGGAACCATTATGTATAATTTTTAGTCGAGCATTTTTGGAAGAATTTATGCGAAAGTGTCGAGAACTTACAGTTTTGTCAATCACTTCACAGTTCTCATCAAAATCAAGCATCTCGTTGCCTTCATTTCTATCAATAACATTGCGCGGTGGCCAAAAACGACCGGAAGGAATCGTTATTGGAAGTGAGCAGCCATATGCCAAAGATTCCGTTTTTCTGATAGCTTCCGCTTCTACATCTTCTTCCATTTCTACTGAGTTCGTATGCAAATCTACAAATCAGGCAAGATCTATGGTTAATCTGGAAAACAACTGAGCATAACAAAAATATCATTTCTTTAATCTGAAGTTGAAACGTAAATTTGTTCAGATCCCCCCAGATTCCAAATGAACCTGGAACTGAAGACTTGGAAGCAGTAGAAGTAACGATCGGTAATAAACCAAAAGCACATGAACATGAACGGAACTGAATAGCATTAAATTCCAAAACTATATTAGAAAATAGGTCAACCAAACCTTTCTCCTCGACCCATGGATTTTCAGGATGTCCTGTTTTTCCAATTATACCAGCACTGCCTCCACTAAAAGTCAAATGCGCCTGAGACATATCAAAATTACCAGAATCTGTAAATTAAAAGTATTCAAAAATAAATGTTATATATACATGAAAATTCCATTGACTACCATGTATCATGAAAATCATAGCTTTATAAGTATGACTTTTACAGTGAATGCTCTTTTAGAGTATTCTCTTTACCGCTAATAAGAAAATTTTTTGGTGCACATAGTATCTATTGAAAGATGAAAACCCAAAATTTAAAAGCTGTGTCATTTCTTTAAACTACAGTCAAGAAAACTGAAAGAAAATTTACATCTGAAAACTTACACTTTTGCATGTTAAATTTGAAAATATATATAAAGGAACAAACAAACCGTCGGATTGAATATCGCAAAACAGATCTAAAGCTGAAGAACCCTCATTTAAACTATCCGCTTCTTTTTCTGGCAGCATATCTTCATCGAAAGAGAACAAGCCTTCTCCGGCCACTATAAATCGTTGCAAATTTTCACAGCTAATACATTCACCAAACTAATATATAATAATTTTCCTAACAACACAGTCCATTTGTATCAGTTACGGAAAGCTTTCCAAAGCCAAGAAAATAGCGAAACATAACTGTAAGTTGTCAAAGCTAAATTGAAGAGGCGAGAGCGAAATAGAAAATTTTGTACATTTTAAATTTATAACTAATCTTGTAGAAAAACTTGGAGTCTATGGTAAAGAAAAAAGGAACTAAAAAGTCGCGAATCATACTCTCTTCCCGTTCTTCGTTATATCTATTCATTTCCTTTCCGTTAACCTTATGACGAGATCTGATGAGCCAGGAGACCGTATGTCGCGCACAAATCCGGTGTCTGCTTCAATTACCTGAATAAAAAAAATATTTCTTTCTAAAGGAATAAACCAGAAGTGTTCTAAAGAACTCACTGATAAGCAAAATTTGAATATGAAAATGAGTCTGCCAAATAAGTGGAAAAATAAATAAACGACATAATAGACATCAATGTAATTACTCCTTGCAGTTTCTTTTTTTTTTTTTTTTTTTTGAATTAGAAAACTAGAATAAATATAAAAGGCAATAAATTACAAACCAAGTCGGAAGTGGCCATTTTTGAGCAGTCCTTAGCAAGCGGCTTCAACTTTACGGTCTCCTGGCAATGAAATTTTGAAAATATTTCTATTAATGTTGTGCTTTCGACTAAACTTTCCTGTGGAAAATCTACATTTTAATATCTCTCTTTGATTCGGTAATGAGTTGATCAACGTATTTTACTAACGTTTGAAAATGCTAGACAACAAAAAAGTGATAATTTCTATCCTAATGACATATTGCTCTTAATAAAACGCTTTTAAGCATATTCAAAAAATAATTCGACGAATACTCTTTGTAAGGATTTTGTTCTCCTATTTTAGACTTACTTTTTATTTTATCTCCCATAAAAATTACTGTTCGAAATTTTTAATGAAATTTTCTATATGCGGTACGATAATTACAACAAATGGGTACACCTAATACATAGAACAAGAGGGATACTATGTTTCTCAAAGCTAGAGACAATCTGAGAATTATACTTCTTTGTCTTCTCAATTAAGGTTAGTTGCGCAGACTAATGACAGATAACCGGTGAGAACATAAACAAAGTGGCTTATTGGACAAAATTATCAAAAGATTCGCGTGTAATTATGTCTAAGAAGGAGGAGCTGTGTCAAATAAACAGCTGTCGGTCATACCGAAATATCATGTCAATTCCAGATGTGAAACAAAATTAAGAGATTCTCGTTAAATCTTTCACTGATTCTCACAATCGCTCCTAGTATTAGTATAAAATTGTAACACATTTTATGGTCTCTCCCATAAAAATTGCTTGCGAAATTTGATTAAACTGCTTGTATAATAAAATTCTCTCAATTCTTTTGAGAGATATAAATGTATATATATATATATATATATATATATATATATATATATAAGTGACTGCAAGAAGGTTAACCTGATAAAGCCGTTCGCCCTATTCCATATGAAATAATGACATTAGTAACTGAAATTCCCAACTGTTCTAGCAAAATTACATTTTTGTACACAAAAAAGACAGATTCTACGGGAGAAACATGTCACATCAGAAAATCAAAAAATCTATTTTTTTGTGGATCACAAATATTCTTTTTGCCTTAGCCTGTTTAACAAAAATTTTTGTTGAAAAAGCACTGTTATTAAATAGTAATTTGAAAACTACAAGTGGAGCTAAATAAATAAAGTTGAAGAAATACCGACAAAGCTTTCATTTTTGTAGCATAACATCACTAATTGTAAATAATGAATAACACCTGCCACTAAATGAACTATGTCGAAACATTTGACGTTACTTAGTTATTCAAAAGTTCAGTCTTTGAACAACAATGTACATATATTAGAGAATCCTCGAAAAAAAAAAAAAGTTACTGATCCCAGATATCCGAAAAATATGTTCATCGAAATTGGTTTTCCGGAATAAGCATTCAGCTTAGGGTTTATAAAACGTCTCAATCCAAGGTGTACAGCGGATCTTATGGCTTATTCAGAATATCTTCACTCAGGAAAGTTCGCAATCTTCAGTTTCAATACCATGTAGTTCCCTGAGTGCAAAGAGGAATTCGCAACTGGCAACTTTTTTAAAACATTACGTGCTTCTTTGATTTGTTTATTTTTCTCATATCGAATGTATATCGGCCGTCGTTCTATGAATTTTTAACATTTAGGTGTCATATCCGGTAATCAAAAAATTCAGAGTGCGGCAAACAACACGACAGCAAGAAAGTACCACATTTATGATTTGCTTCCTTCACTTGCACTTGCTCTCTAATTGCTATCACTTAACAAGCTCTGCGGTAATCAGTGATTGCAGTGAAGAGTTCAAGAATGGCAACAGACATGAGGATGAAGAAGGCTTATGACATGTTAAATCTCCAAGATACTGAGTAAACTCTTGCACACATATATATCACATATGATGCAAGGTTTTTAAATGTGCTCAGTTTTGACGAAAGCTACTTTGGTATCCAAAGTACGCATGCTTGATACGCAGAGAAAAGATCAAGCATCTTTCATCAAATGCTTCATGAATTAGCCAAACTTCTTTTTGCTCATGTTCACATAATAAACCAATCAATTTTATATCTGGAATATGAACAAATATCCATGGTCTTTCAATCCTTGATTAATTCAAAACTCTCCTTCCTCATAGCCTTTGTGGACATTTTGAAGCGAAAGCGGTAAACAACAAATCAAACTGCACAGAGAAAACACAACACGCACACACGCATGCTTGATACGCAGAGAAACATGTGTTTTACATGAAAACCAACACTTTTACGGAAAATTACAAAGGATCTAATGTCGGACGCCATTTCTTATATTTAACCCATCTATTTTTACGTACGCCAGTTCTGATCATCAAAGTTCAAATTTCAACTTTCCTCTTTTCAGTGAATCCAGCATTCCCTATTCTAGAATCATTACTGCCGACCCTTGACTATCATACCTTGAGCTTCTTGTCATCAAATCATTTGAATTTAAGGAATAATTCTAAAATAATATATGCGAGTAAGACAGTAATACACCACTTTCCTCTAATTCAACATACCAATCCCTTAAATTATTCACCCATTTTTCCTCTCCGCCCTTCACTTTATCTTTTCTTTTCCATCTCCTGCCTGCCGACTACGTTGAAAACGCGTGTCATTATTACCCAAGCAAGTCTTATTCAACAATTTATAACTTTACTATCGGTAAAAACCAGGCTATCTTTAATCTCTCGATAAACTGTAAAATACTTAAATAATTACAAAGTAATAACAAAAATGAACAAATTGTAAAAGCATATATAAAATTAGGTGCGAACGAATTTAATAAAAAGATCTGCTTATGTTTATAGCGAGAAATAAAAAGCATCAAAGATCAATAAAGGATTTTAAGTTCAGAGAGGTACTATATAAGACAGCATCATCTTTAATCATTCTTTTCAAACTAAAATTGGTGTTTCGTTCTAAATCAGTGATAAACAGATTTTATAAACACGTTGAGAGGTGGAAGCTTCATCAAAAAGACGCGATGAAAGAAGGAATACTTACTAGAATCCGTGATTATAAGTGATATCCAACTTCATCTTGAAAATATCGCCGGCTTCAAGAGTTCATTTTTACACAAAAGAGGTATTATAAATATAGCAGCTGACGTATGAGTTTTACCTGTAAATAATATAAAAATAATCAATTATTCCGTGCCTTAATCGCAAACTTCATCAGTTAATTGAAATTTCCCTTTTTCTCATTTTTATTGGCTATGTCATGAAAAGCATGGTACAGAAAGTTGACAATATGCTGAAAAAGTATTGTTCTTATGCGATCGTAGTATGGAACGCTGTTAAACAGAGCAAATGATTCCTGACGCTAGAGACGATGGCTCGCTCTTATAAATGTAATCTTTGCTTTCTCCGAAAATAAAATTTAAAACTACATTAGACAAAATACATGACGTGAATATATTCTTGCTAAAAAAAATTTCCCACAAATTTGTGAGGTGCACTCTTCGTTAATAAATAGCGCACTAATCAAAATCTAATAGCAAAACATCGATTGCTTAAGTAAAAGGTGCCTGCCAATGTACAACAATGGATCTGGTCCTGTCAAGAGCAATCACTGTTACAACTCCAATTTTCGATCTGGCAGTTGAGCTGCAACAAATCAACCACCTATTACAATTGCATACGATTTTTTTTTTTTTTTTTTGTTCCAGTTCAATCAACAACTGCTTTCTTTTTGGATGTAAAATCCATATTACTCAAGCTGAATCTATTTAACACCAATCAAAACTGTACGTAAAACAAAACAGAAGCGAAATGTTAACCATCTAAAACCAAATCATTCAGTAGATTACATGGAACAATTTAATTGCCAGCAAAGTAAGGCTTTCTGGAAGCCATTAACTGGGCAAAGAGCTATTGTACTGCTTTCGTACCAACATTATTCCATGCAGTCCGTCCAAAATAATACACACACTGCATGAAATAATATGATATATAATAAAATTGTCTTATTGTTAATGCTCTCTTTCAAGATAACATAAAAAAGGTGAGAATGTTCGTCAAAAACGGGTTTAGAATTAACTACTGAAGTCTTATGTTCTCTCATGTACTTGAAACGCTTAAACGTCAGATGTCCGTTTCAACTGAAGGACTTTTGTACAGTGTGAAGCTATATCCGTCTTTTTCTTCCTATTAAGCACGATGAAACTTTTTTTTTGTTCGTATACCTAAAAGTAATTGTGAATAAAATATTTAACAGAAATAATAGCCCAGAATGCACACGTCACCAACGACTTACTATCTGAACGAACAATAATAAATAGTATATTCACAACATCGAAGTCATCCCGATAATGCCCAGATGATCAAAAGTGATGAATGCAGAAACATAAGATAAATGCAGTTTTTGAAATTTATGGACATATTGTAAGTAATTTGTGCTATCAGCAAGTAATTCAGTTCCTTCAATTTCCAAAAATTTATCCGGTTTTATTTAAAAAAATAAGTGAAATGAAATGAACTGCAACCCCAACTATATTTTAATGAAAATTAATGTCACATATATATATATATATATATACATTCATACATATACGCGTACACAGACATATCATCATAACATTTCCCCTTGCAGTATCGCTGGCGTGCTACCCTTGATTCTTCTCTCTGGCTGTTTGCTTATGAGCTCATTAGCACAAATTGGATAGATGAAACAAATGAGTCAACTATCAATCCAAGTGATGGACATGTGAACAATTACCCATTTCGCAAACAACACCGCTATTACTCCTTCAACAATTCTCGTCCTGTAAGGACGCATGCATCCGTCCAGGATGATGAATCCTTTAGTGCTTCCTCCCGCTCTTATTCTCCCATAAATCAATCGTCTCAACATTCTTATTCCCATCCTTCCCTTTCTCATCAATCCAAGCATCACAGACAGCTCCATCTTTTGTGATATAACACGTAATGCACACCTCTCCATGCCCTTCCATGTTTCCACCTCTAAATACACCTCTTCCCTCTGTTAATACCCTCTCTCTCACTACCTTTCCAATGTTTCCAATGTAGCAGGGCTGTTGCAATGATTTGGTCGGAAAAAACGCTTAAGAAGTGAAAGACGTAGGTACAGGCGAATATCAGAAGAGGCGCAAAGATATAAAGATGACTGGAACATAGCATGTTTCGGACAAAGCGGTTTTGAACACCTCGCGAGTCGATTACCTCACAGGGGTTTGAGGAACTTCCGGGATGCTTCTTCTACATCTTATGATTTCGCCAAGAGCACACGAACGGTATAACTTAATGACTCGAAAATCGTCATAGAATCAAATCAATTATTACTACAGATCATTTCCAGGAAGATAATAAAGTCAACCACGATATTATTGGCGAATATCATTAGCAGTACATTTCAGTAAATAGTAATCATACACGCAATAATACAGGTACTTACTTTTGTTCAACATTGCGATATGCAGTATTAGGTTGATCTCTCCAGCGCTAATCAGTACCGAATTGATCAAATAATCCAGAAGTTGAAATTCTAATCACTTTGCCTAGTCGCTTTCTGCAGAAGTCAAAAATAAATAGATTTACCATGAATCTTTGAACTGATATTGCATCAAGAAAAAAAAGGACAAAAAGAAAAAAGAGTGAGCGAAATAATGATGGAAATCAGAAGTAGCGGAAGTCGGGGTAAACAGTAAACAGAAGGAAGTGATGTGTATTCCATGCGGCAATTTCAAATGACAATTTTGTTGAAAACGAATGGTCGAGTGGGGAATGAGTTGATGAACGTACGATTTAACCAACAATTCTTTTCCCACTTCGATAAAGGAAGCAGAAACATTAGATGTTGACCAAAGCGTAATATTTATCATGCAATAATCAGTTACTAAACACATTTGCATGTGTATATCTCTATATATAAATGTGCACTTTAAAACTAATCGCTTTTATGGGCCTCACAGGTATGGCAACCTAAAATTTGAGCTCAACTGAATGTGATCCGTGCTGAACAACTGTATAAAGGGAAAAAATGAAAATTAAGGACAGAAATCAGAAAAAAAGTATTATATTTCTGAAAAGCTATGAAAAAGAGATTTATAGTTTTTTGGTTTGGTTACTGACAAAATTAGCTGCTCGCAATATTCTGACCCTCTCAAAAATCTTAACCATTTCTTACGGTAACATTTTGCGCTACCAGCTTTCTATTTCTGTGCGGAGAATGTTACGCATGTAGCTCTCAAAGAAAGCAATTGAAATATCGAATCATTTTCCAAAGTAGAGAGTAAGGATTTTAACTGTTCCTTAGCATGGACTTGGGAAGTTAGATTTTGAAATCTAAGGTAGCAAAGTCTATTTAACAAAGACAACACTTGAAGAAAAAATCAAACAATCGGGTCAAGCAGGGTCACTCAATAATTCTGAAAACTCTGGAAATCCACACATTCCCAAGTACTTTCCTGACATTCTTGTGAATCCGAATAAGAACATGATGAAACAGTCCTGAAAAGAGCAGATATACATATATTTCAAAATGACTAAGTCACAGAAGTGATGCAGAATTACTCATGGAAACAAATACAGTAGTCTAAAAATTTTTACCCAACCTACATGCAAATTATGCATTCCAAACTTGAACGGACAAAGAGGATTCATTACTTCATTGCTAATGACGTACTATCTTCCGGAACTTTCAAAGCTTATCATCAGATTCTGCCACGACAAATTCAATTTGCTAGTTTGGTATGAGGAATTAGTCCCCTTTACTTCACATATTTCAACTTTGGACTAAGGAAATTCTTGTAATTGGTTAACGAATATTAGCATTGAAAATTTGGAAGGAGAAGCGAAAAGAATAGGGTCAAGCACTAAATGATGTCTTCAGTACAGAAGCGAAAGAAAGGAAGAACAAGCAGACGAGGTAAGGAGAAAGGAATGAAAGACGACTCTACATCAAAGAAGGGCAGCTAAACTGACCTGTTTATGCTCCTTCTCTGTTACAAAGCAACTGTCACCTATCACCATTGGTTGCCCTCTTACTAATTTACTCACCCATCAGCTTGAAATAGCAAAGATCGATTTCAGGAATTCTCTTTCTCCTTTTTTTTATCTTATGTTCAATATTCCCTATAACAGATAAAGAATGAAGCATTTCAGATTCATAGTCATCCTCACATTTGCTTCTACCAAGGTAAAATTTATAGAGGACCACTTAGTAGGATGGTAAAATTAGAGAAGCTGATAAGGAGTGCATCTTAACTGTTCGGATTAAAACATCTAAACGAACCCGGAAACTCTCAGAAACTAGAAGTTCAAAAGTGGACAAGCCTAACTAAATATTTCAAGCCACATAAAGAAAATATATAAACGGAAAAGAAGTACTAAGCAGAAACTTTTACTTTAGTATGTTGATTGGAACTGGTCATGGTTTTGATATTGTTGCTTGGGATGATGACAGTGATAATACTGGCAGAGGAGTTAGTGGGAGGTGCGTGCTCTCATGAAGAGCAAATAAGTGCTGCTGCACTGAAAATTAAAGCCGAGCAGTGCGGGATGGGGGAAGGGATCTGGAACTATGATTCGTGATGCAGAAGCTACCAATAAAATGTGAGTCGCAAGGAAGACTGAGAACTGGGAAGAGTGACAAACGAAGAAAAAACCTCTCCCTTTTTCGTCAGCGGCGTCAGTAAGTGCAGTAATGGCCAACTGGATAGTTTTAGGCGCGGTAGTGACAGCATGATGTGTTGGACTGCATCACAAAATTCACTAGCACGGAATAGGTAGTTTCTGTAATACCGAGATTCACAATTTCAAAGCAAATGAATAATAAGTTTTCGTTTCGAAAAGTTTTTTTCCTTCTTGAACATACAAATCTGACACTATCCAACGTTTAATCTCGAAGCGTACTGAACGTATCTCCTGTGGAAGTCAATTCACGGCATCAGAAGCAAAGAGAATAATGCCATCATGTCTCTAGTGTGATTCAACGTTTGGAAACACTATCCTTTAGTTTAATTTCGCAACCGTCACACCTATTAGCCATCCTATCCCCAAGAAAACTAAAAATTTATTAGCGAAAGTGGCATGACATAGGTTAAGAGATATAATGAGAATAAAAAGAAAAGGACATGAGACGGAAAATATTTATGAACCAGTGATAGACAAGTATCTGTCACGTGTCGCGACTTAGTAAGCTCTAGAAAGTGTCTTTGTTTTTGTGAAAGCAGTAGAAAAGTTAAAATAGCAGTTGTCGTCTAGTCAACTTGCTTCTCCGCACGTTGCTCGCATATTGATCCTGTTTGTGGTTCTTTTAACTTGTTGATAAAATGAGATAAGGTTTGAGGAATAAACGAGTACTGCATGTTTACAATGTAGTTAAAAAGTCATCAAAAGCATTACTGATATTACAGCGATTTAGCAATCCATTCATTTTTTGGTTAATCTACTGTAGCCAATGGGTGCCAAAAACTTGGTTCTTGGCTGTCCTACTGTCTCCTAGTCTTTAATTGGCAACAGTTAAAATAGTCAGACGCTATTTCAAGCAAAATTTTCATATTTGTTAATAAATATTGGCACGCCTTTAGGTACCATTTATCAGTCAGATGTTTCAAAGGAAGGGGAAATAACGTAGCGAAATAAGCGCACACATGGTAATGTATCCAAATCCGCATTTAATAAAAATAAGGTTGAGGAAACCAACTTATCCTTGTATTCAACCACTCCCGAACTTTGTCTAGAAGTTACTGAACTGAATGTCTGTAGTATTGACCCTAGGTATATCCGAAAAATAGTTCATCGAAATTAGTCTTCCGGAATAAGCATTTAGCTTAGGATTTGTCGTGAATTTGAAGAACTTTTTGGTCAAAAGAGTAGATGATTTAGAATAGTTAAGTTCACCTGACTTACTTTAAGTTTGTAGAACTTGAACTGACCTTTTGCTTTTTATCTGCGAACAAGATCGACCCAAATATGTTTTATTTTCTTTGTAAAGTGAATCGATACAATATGCAACCGAATAATTGAAACAGCGAGGGAGTAAATGGTATTGTTGAAGAGGAGGAAGAGAAGACTGCCACTGATCCTTTCTTTTTTATTAACTGATTAGAGAAGATTTTAAAGATGTAGGAAGTGGACTTAGCTTAGAGGATTAACATTTACAGTGAAGACAGATGTACATTTACTATTTGAGGTTTCCATAAAGAATTCATTGTTTCAAAAAGAATGGAGTATAACAAAGGAATAACGAATTGGTTCGTAGTAATGGATCATTAGCATTATTCTAAACACTTAGCGTGTAATAAAGGTTTTCCGACACTCTCTACTCAAGGGAAAAAGGAGCTCTTAGGAATATGTTTAAAGATATCTATTTGATTTGAATTTGGTCGTAATGATAAATTTTGATCTTGATCATCTTTTAAACAAAGCACTAGTTCTATTTCAGTAGGGCTCGTCTTTTGTTGTGATCGCTTAAAACATTTGAAAAGTATACAAATTATCTTTAGTTTTAGATTAACAACAATTAGAATTGATATTACAACAAAAATACAAATAAAAAGACTAACTAGCTTTCAATTTGCTGTGAGTTGGTTCATTCCTTCTTGTATGAATTCTGATGCCTTTGTACATACCGTTCGAGTAATGTTACTACACTGTATTGCTTGTATTCATGCATGAGTTCTTGTATATACAGCGACTTCAGTGAGTGTAGTTCTGTGTAAATTGGTCATTACAATTCTATTTCTGTGGGAGTTTAAATGGAATACCCGCGATCCAATTACATCTATTAGTATAAATAATTTGTAGCAATACTGAAAGAATAATGGTGGCCATTAGCATCACTCAACTTGCCCTTTGTGGGATATTTGTTTGCTGTAGTTTCTGTTTTCTTTCCACTCCTACGAGATGCTATTAGTCCGTCTCCAGTTCCATCTCTTGGTTTTATTGCTCGAACTTCGTCACTTTCTTCTTCATTCAGTTCCATGGGATAAAATAAATTAATTGGTCTATTGAGAAGTTTACCGCTGGAAGTTTTCACAGTTGCCTTTCCTATACTTCAATCACTAACTAATTTAAGTGTTCCTGTACTTACTAATTTCCACATATCTGGTTGTAAATCTGGTTCTATTTCTCCAACACGCAAAATATGCTTATGAACTAGTCTTGGTGAAGCCAGTTCCCTTTGGGTACGTTCTCTCAAACGAATAAGATATTCGTTTTTCCAATTTTTCCAAAATACATCTACAGTTTTGAGAGCATTCGACCAATAATTAATTAGTTTGTCTCTAGTATTTAATAATGGAGTATAAATTCTTCTTGGTCACTATCATTATTATTTGGTATATTTAATGGATCATTAGGAGAGATAAAATCGATAGGTAATCATCAAAATTTAAATATACATTCTATTTCTGCTATTAATGTAATTAATTCTCTTTCCCATAATAATCTCCTTCCTATAGCTCTTCTGAGAGCTTTCTTGGTTAGCCCAATCATTTTCTCATAAACCCCTTCGTTCCACGGTGCTTTCGGGATTATATTTTTCAAGACCATTCCTTTCAAGATTTCTGCAGATAAGTTATCGACGAAGCTCGAGATGAATTGCTCTAGTGGTAAAACATGTAAAAAGTGCTACCCATCTTTTATTTTTCCATTGTTATCTTCGACAGTAATTGGGCCCATATAATCAAGGCCAACCTGTCCAGAAGGTTTTGATTTCTTAACTCCCGTTTCCGGCAGATTTGGCACTGATGGTAATTTATATGGTTTAGTTCTTCATCTTCGACAAGCAAAGCATCCATTGATAACCCGTTTAACTGTTGATCTTCCCTTTGGTATCCAAAAATTTGGTTTTAATTCACAGAGAGTGTGAGCAATTCCAGCATGATGTGGTTCTTCATGTTTCTTTTTGATGATAAGTTCAGTAATATGATTACGACTTGGTAAATAGATTAGAAATTTTATTATTTTACTTTCATTTGTTAACTCCGCATTCTCTAAAAGGAAGGCTTGTTGATTTCCATAATTTATCGGTTTCATCACAGTATAAATTCCATATTCTAATTTGGTCTTCAGTTAATCCATCAGACTGCGCTTGTGAAATTAATGTTCCTCCTGCTATCTCATAGTCGTCTTTATTCATGTAAATTTTATGAGTGGATAGTTTTTCCAACCACGTAGTTCTGTTTTGAAGCTAAATTTGATAAACCGAAGTGCCCACACTGTTGCTTTTAACATGCGAGCCAATTTTCAGTTATGAATTGAAATTTTACTAATTTAAAAGTTTTCTTTACCTTTCTAATAGTCATCATAATTCTCTATTAGATTCATCGTCTTCTTGATATTTGAATTCCCATTGTGACCATTTACTTTTCTCCTTTTCTAGCCACTGCGGTCTTGTCCACCACGGTTGATAGTTTTTAAGTTTACTTGGTGAAATTCCTCTAGTAGCAACCTCCACTGGATTGTTCGCACTTGGGGTATATCGAAGGGTGAAATGTGCCCTTCGTATCTCTTCTATTCGATTTTGTACAAACCGAGGGAGTAGTCTCGTATAATTTCTGATCCAAAATAGAGCGCATTTAGAATCAGACCAAAGCGTTGCAGGGTATATTTTTTAATTCTAGTTGCTTCAATGCAAACTGTGTAGCTCTTACTCCAATTAGTACTGAAAGTAATTGCAACCGAGGTATGGTAATTTGTTTAATTGGGACAATATGTGATTTAGCATAAATGAGAAATGTTGAATTTTTACCACATTTTTTGATGTCGAGAACATATACTGCTGCTGTGTATGCTTTATTTGAAGCATCTGAAAATACATGTATTTCTAATTAATCTGATGGGTTTATTACAGGTAGGTATATTACATATTATATTCTTTGGCCAACTTTGTATCATTGATTTCCACTGTTTTTCTTCTTGATAGCTTAAAGGCTGGTTCCACTTGTTTTGTATCCTAAATAAAAGTTGAAGAAATAAATTGAGTGTAATCATTGAGGGGACTAAAAACCCTAGAGGGTCATAATGTGAAGCAACAAATTGCAAGATAGTTTTTTTAGGTATTTTCTTTTCATTCCATGGTTTAAGTATTATATGAATTACATCCAATTCATAAATCCTGTTGATACCAAGAAAACTACCTTTATTAGAATTAGCCTTGTCGTATTCGGGTAATCTTTCATTGAATTCTAGATCATTCGAAATAAATTCTCCAATATTCATGGCTGCTCTTTTATAATATGATCTGAGTAACAAACTGATTCGTAAAATCAGAGCAGGAGGAAAACTGATGATCAAGAGAAAATGAAGTACATTCCACAATCATCGCTACCTCATATATTACAAGATGTGACTGTTTCTTATGAAATAAGGTATGCGCGTGCTAGAGAGCTCGGCTGAGAACAAGGGAACACGAGGGGTATTTACCTTTCATACTAGAACATTTCTTGTTAAATAACACACACATTTATATCATTCAACTTTTTTTTTACTGGCACCCACAATATGAAATAACGTTACCTAAATAAGTTGAGTTTGTCATTTCTCTAAGATTTGCGCAGGAACCTATTTATAAGCAAGTAAAAGATTTCGCAAATCTTTTGGAAAACTTCAAAGCAAATTTGGTTTCTTTAATCACTTTTGCTCCTGTTTACAGGCATTGATAGATCCAATTGATGTCCATCTAAAAATGTGACAAATTTCATTCACCAAATAACTAATGCATCAGGAGATGAGAATTTTCAGAGTTTAATTTAAATCATATTCAGATAAGAAATATACTGTTA